ATAATGAAGTTAATTTGTATCAAGTGTACAATATAACAGCTCTTCATTAATTCCTGTGTTTCAAGAATGATTTGTGTTTATGCTTTATAGCTTTCTATATCCTCAACTCTCCATATAGATGGAGCCGTTGTTTCCTTGTATTGCTATCAAATGATATTGGAAAATTTAGTCACGTGACTTACACATGCATATCTTCTATTAATTATGATAGAAAAATGATGAATATACTTAATTTTAAATGTTTAAAGCTTAGAGACCCCAAAAATTAATTTTGTAGTTCAGAAACTCAGCTTTAAATAAATTAAAATTCAAGGATGGATAAACCCATTTTGCTTTTTTTTTTTAAAAAAAATATATAAAAACAAGTCGATCTTTCATTTACCAATGAATTGGATCCTTCCATATTTGATCAATAAAATAATGGAATTTAACCTACGAAGTTTACATGAGGATTAGAAGACGCATTTTAATGCCTTATGAAGTTTATAAAAGATTAATGGTAGTCTATGATTTCTTTTTTTGGTTAATTAGAAGATTTGTTGGATCTTAGACTACATAATAAGAGTAGTTCTCTAGTCACCAGGATACAAACCTATTTCATTAAAAAAAATATATCGAAATATACAATCACGCTACTTATAAATCCATAAATTTGTCATGACTAAAACTAAAGTTCACCTTATTCAACAACAAGCCAAAAATTTGAGGTTCAAGTCTTGAACCTAGAGTTATGGTCATCCTTATTAGTATGGTAGTTATGATGATAAAATTTATTACTAGAACATCGTTGTGGTATGGTGATGCTAGTCATAGTCATGGTAATAGTCATAGTCATGGTAATGGCAACAACAATTGTTGTAATAACGAGGTTGTACTAGATGTAGTATAAGATACTGGTAATGGTAGAGACAATACTAATAATGTTAATAGTACTTATGGTTCGTTGACGATGATGTGATAATGATAATGATAATAGTGGTGATGTTGTAGATTATGATAAGAATAATAAATATTATAGTATTTGTTTTGTGACAATATTGTTGTGGTGATTTTAGAAAATAAAACAGAAAAATCACTTTTTTTATGATTTATAAAATCTTATTTTGTTTTGTGAATTTTTCTCCTAGAAAAAGTAAAACCCCCATAAATTTACTAAATCTCTTTCATTTTCTAGAATATGACATCAAAGGAATCCTAAACAAAAGATTTAAACACCAGTTCCATCAATGTCTAGTTTCGTAAATATCTCAAATGAGATGATCATGTGAAATAGGGAAAGACGGAGTTTGTGGTTTTTCTCTCAGTATCTAATGGCGCCCATACTCGGCCTTCCATACCAAATGCAAGACACGACCCAACTAACGAATAATTGTTTGATCTTTCCATCATTCAAATGATATGTACAAGACATAAGTGTAAATTACAATTCGTTTTTTTAGTTTTACAAAATAAATTATATAGTCCCTCTTATTTTAAAAATTAAGTAATTAGTCTCTTAATTAATGTCAATTATGATTAATTTAATATTATTTTATTTAAAACATTTTTTTTTCATCAATCCTTCCATACATTTTTATTTCTTGAAACAAAAAATTAAAATAATAAGTTACAAATAAATTTTAAAATACAAAGAGTTATTAATTAGTATTTGAAACTAAAAAAACTATTTAATTTGTTAGAAAAAACTAGATGAACTAATTTATAATTTACATAGAAAATAATGATGTTCACATGCATGATATGGGTAAGCATTTGCGCCAGCAAAAGGGCCAATTCTTCAAACATGAAAGCCTCAAGTTTTTTTTTTTTTTATGTCTCTCATGCGTAGATAAAAAGGGAATATATCATCATCATGATCGTCATCATAATCATCACCTCCTCTCTTTCTCTACTAATCCCAGCTAAACAACAATGAAGTCCAAGATAACAACTATATAGTATTCCAAATATAGTGTTAAAGTGATAGGCAATGTTATTAAATAAGAGGAAAGTATAGTCATGGTCAACCTTCTTTGAATATAGTGGAAGAATAGTGTTATTTGCTTTACAAAAGGTTTGAGACAGTTTTTTTCCCCTGCCTAGTTACTTTTAACTCAATGAAGTGTTAAGCTAATAATAATTTGGATTCATCCCTCCAAATAAAATAAAAATCCAATTGGATATTAGTTTCGGGTATTTTTTTTTTTTTTTGGGAGCATGTAATGGGATATTAGTATATAACTAGGTCCCATGAATTGAATGGATCCTGAAGGCTTATCTCAATAGAAGGAAAGATGGCGTGCAGTTGCCGTTGGACCACCAAGCTGGTGCCCTCTCTCTGTTACGTGTCGCATTTTATTATTTCCCTTCTTGTTTTTAAGACTATTTTACCTGGAGAAGTAAATACTAACATTAAAGACCAGTTTGGTCGTTGATTAACTTATGAAAGAGTATTGTTAATGATGACTTTAAAGAGCACTAGATGGTAGTTGATTGATAAATAAGTGTATAAGTCAGATATAGGGTTCGATTATTATGATCAAAATTCTTAAACATTTATTCTAAGAATATTCAAAATCGTATATTAAATAATGTCTTTTAACCGTACAAAAAATAAAAAATAAAAAAATAGTTTTTAAGTGTTCAAAATCTGACCAAAAAACATATTTATTGTTGAAACTAAAAAAAAACTTTAAACTGAGTTCGAATGATCTAATTATAAGATTCATTCGTTATGGCTTTATATATATAATTTTAAGTGTTTCTTTGTTTATCTATTGCATTTCATTTAAGATGACACGATATAGAAATCAGATGAGTTTGAATAATATATATATATATATATTGACATGTTTGAATAATCAAATAGGATATCTGTTTGTAAATAGTCAAGTAGATGAGTCCTTATGTTATCTTCCAATATAGCATGCGCATTGATTCTTTGTAAGCTTGACATGTATCTCCAATTTCGACAAAATAGATAATTTATTTTCTGGAAAAGAAAATTAATTAAAAAATAAGAAATTTCGTGAGTTTTTTAACGAAATAAATTTAAATATTTTTAGTGTATAGTATATAATGAAAATAAAAGATAGCACTTATTTATACTATTCCACACGTCACATATTTGTAATCGGTCAACATACAAAAAATAACCTATGTAAATATAGTTTGGGTATAGATCAAACTTTTTTCTTTTTTTATAAAAGTAGGAAAATAGCAAATTTATTAATACTGAATAAATTTTGATTTCAATAAAAATAAAGTTAACAAATTTTTTTTCTTCTTTTATGAATAAAACCCAATTAATGAATGCACAAAAACTCGATACAAAGTCGACTACCAATATGGTAATAGATTCAAGTAACAAACCGACCCGAATCTGAGTACGGACGAAGGAAAGTCATTGAGTCCTTTCACGAAGATGTTTTCTCTCTCTCTTTCTCTCTTTTATGGATACTCCAGGTGCCCAGACGGTTTTCTTATTGACCGAAAACATGGAAAAATTAGAAAAATGCTTTCCAACAAACACTAATTGTCTACGGTGTATGAATTTCTAATTACCAAATTGCTAACAAGATCAAAATTATTACTCAAAAAGATTTGTAAACACAAATATAATTTTCCCCTAGTCTCCGAAAATAATTATGAAGTCATGAAAAACACAAACTAGTTTTTAACGCATAAGTTTATAATCTAGTAACAGTGGGATTCGTGTATTTGAAAGATAAAGAGTTCAAAATCTTTATTTAGAGTATTTGATATTTTTTTTTAAATTCTATTACAAGAATAAGTCAGAGTAGCTTTTTGTTTTATAATAATAATCAATTCAGTTCGTCATAATAATATGATCTTTTCTTTTATCTTGCTAATTATTAATTATTAACCTTAATTTAATGAACTACGGAATTCTATCTATAGTAAAAATAAATAAAATAAAATTTTAACACACAAGTTGATTTGGACTCTCCACCGTTTTGATAAAATAAACACACCACTTCTTGTAAATTGCATATAAAAAATTATTAACTAACTTAATATTTTATCTTATTTTCTTACTTTTAATGATAAAAACATTTTTCTAGTAATTTTTATTTAATGATTAAGTTCTTCTATTAGATTTTATCTTCATTTAAATTGATATGCTAACAATGAAATTTGCCCCTTCCATTAAATTAACCCTAATTGATAAAATGAGAAACTGATCTTAGCCTTTTATTATTTGAAAAATTTAAATGAGGAAGATATCTCCCCTATCTTTTATATTCCTGAAAATTCTAAAACTTAGTCAAAAAGTTAAATGAAATTTGAATATTCATTTATGAACTTGATATTAATGTTAAATTAATCTCAAACTCCAATTAATTAATACTAAACAAATGAAAGTGAAACCTTATGATTGGACTGAATCACAAACCTAAAAACACAAAGTAATTTGGTGGAATAGGAGTTTTCCCTTTTTAACGGGCAGGAGAAAAGAAACAGATTGTGCCCTTTTTTAACATTTGGGATTTAACGGTAACGGGAAAGAGCCAAGGAGGAGAAGAAACAGGGGTGGACAATGAGGTCCAAGCGGCAGTCCAATAATTGTGACGTTGTCAACAAAGCAAAATTCAAATCCCATTCTCGTAATTCTATCAAAAAACAGAGGTTAGTAAATAACAACAAAAGAAAAAAAAAGCGAAGAGAACGGAAAGTAGATAGAGAGAGACCAAAACGAAAAAAAGAGAGAAAAGAATTGACAAAAGAAAAAGAAAGAGAGAGAGAGGAGAAGAGAGAGAGAGAGCTGGAATCACATGGGCTTGTTGTTGTTGATGTTGTCTTTCTCTCTCTCTTTCTAACTTGTCACTCTCTCTCTCTCTCTTTCTCTCTTTGTGTTTTGTTTTGTTGGTTTTTCTTTCTTTCGTTCTCTTTTTTTCTTCTCTATTATCGCCCCCAACATGATCGCTCTAACTAATTTCTGAAGCAAAAACAAACATAATCAGCACCAACTTTCTTTTCTTCTTTCCTCTTCTCCATCCATGGCTGAAGATAAGGTAATTTCTCTTTTCTTTTTTTTTTTCTTTTTTTTTTAATTTTGCTGTTATTTTTGTGGGAAATTCTTGAATTTTTCTAGGAAAAATCAGACATCTGATTGTTAGCTTTGTCTTATGTTTTTTTTTTTTAAAGAAAAATGTTAACAAATTTGTTTCTTTTTTTATTCTCAGCATGCAAGCAAATTTTCTTTTGCATTAGGGTGTATTTTTATGGATTTTAAAGATCTGGGTTTGCCTTATTTTCCTGCATTTGGCTTTTAGCTTTTTTGATGGGTGGAAATAGTTCTGTTAGAATAGATCTAGATGGCGAGGTCATACCAAAAAATTTGAAATTACTGATTTGTGTTCCTTCAACATGATCTAAGATATCTGTTTCCCCAGCTATGCAATTTTTTTCCTTTTCCAAAGCTTAATTATAGTTTTTATATAGATCTAAGATCTCTGATGTCCGTATGTTTTTGTAGGAAATGACCACCCGTGTTGCTGACGGGAATGATCCGGTCACCGGTCATATAATTTCGACCACAATTGGGGGTAAAAATGGAGAACCCAAGCAGGTAACTATTTTTGTGAACACCAGTTGTTGTTTGTGTTTTCCTTTTGTGTAAGGGTTGTCTCTTTTCCTCTAATTTCCATATGGTGTTGAGAATCAATATATGATTTTTAAGCAAATGTTTGGAGATTTAGATAGCTGACGGTCAGGTTAATTTCATTGATGTTTTGGTTCTTGTAGACCATCAGTTACATGGCAGAGCGGGTTGTGGGAACAGGGTCATTTGGTATAGTCTTCCAGGTATGCAAATGTGTAATCTGTTGAAGGTATTGGCGATCAAGTACCCTTCCACAAATTGATCTATCTCTTTTTGTAGGCAAAATGTTTGGAAACTGGGGAGACTGTGGCAATAAAGAAGGTTTTGCAAGACAGAAGATATAAGAACCGAGAATTGCAGCTAATGCGAGTGATGGATCATCCTAATGTTATTTCCTTGAAGCACTGTTTCTTTTCAACAACAAATAACAATGAACTCTTTCTTAACTTGGTCATGGAGTATGTTCCCGAGAGCATGTATCGGGTTTTGAAACATTACAGCAATGCAAAACAAACAATGCCGCTTATTTATGTGAAACTTTACATGTACCAGGTATGGTTTGACACTTACATGAAGTTGATTTGTTGCCTCGTAATCCTTTTGATAGTAATTACAAGACTTTTTTTCCAGATTTTCAGGGGACTGGCTTATATCCATGCAGTTCCCGGTGTTTGCCATCGGGATTTAAAGCCCCAAAATCTTTTGGTATGCTTCTATACTATTAAATGCATGTTAAAAGGTGGTAGCTGTTTTCTCAAGTCATTCTTTGCTGTCTGCAGGTTGATCCTCTGACTCACCAGGTTAAGCTTTGCGATTTCGGAAGTGCAAAAGTGCTGGTATGCTGACTTTATTCTAGTTTGCATCCCTCATCTTTCCATTGGTGTGACTGCAACTCTTAAAGCTGCAAGATAGCTTGTAGTTTGTCTTTGGGATATTAGCCTGGTTATTAACAAAAAGGGATATGGATCCAGTGACCGTTACGTGCCTTCTGTTTGCATGAAATGCATAAAATTTTGAATATGAAAGTTACCTGGAATATTGATTGAATGCTTGATGCATCCCTGTTTGATTAGTTTGTTGGTAATAACAGTGTAATATAATAAAGTTGATCTGATAAGTTTTAAATTTTCAAGGTATTCTTATCATATCGTTCCTTTCAATTTGAGGGATACAAATTCCAACAATCCGGTATCTGTATGGAAGCGATAGTTTTTTCTTATAGATGAGTGTCCTTAAGTATTCTGAGTATGATGTCAAGGTTAGAATTGCTATGGCAATCCTTTTCCTAAATCTCTTCAAATCTCTTTCTCCCTGATTTTGAAACCTTTAAATTGTTTGATCAAATGACAATTTATTTATTTATTTTTATTTTATTTTATTTTTGTGTGTCTGCATTTCTTTCATGGTCTGTTCGAGAAACTTATTCGGTTTGGGGTATCAAATTTAAGCTCCACTTTTAGCTGCTCATCTAGTTCTGCAAGTACATGGTTTTAGCTCCTAATAATAATTGAGAGACTATAAAGCTGAAGCTCTTGTTTACTTGAAAGCTTCAGTGCTAATGTGATATATGATCTGAATATTTTGCTTCTAATTCTTTCTATACTATATTCCATGCATTGACATTCAAGGTTCCTGTGAATAGGTCAAAGGTGAAGCTAACGTATCATACATCTGTTCCCGGTTCTACCGGGCTCCAGAACTTATATTCGGTGCCACAGAATACACAACGTCGATTGATATATGGTCTGCTGGTTGTGTCCTTGCTGAGCTGCTTCTTGGCCAGGTTAGCAGTTCTTTCTATTGGGTTTTAAGATTGCTCTTTTTGACAATTTTCCAAATGATAGTTTGTTGTTGACTGCTGGCCATTTAAATTTTTTACAGCCTCTATTTCCTGGAGAAAATGCAGTGGACCAGCTTGTAGAGATTATTAAGGTACAGTTTGCTTATTTTATGCTTTAACTGATGCAATTCATATGACCATGAGCCAACTTCTTACATACTGTTTTACAGGTTCTTGGCACTCCAACAAGAGAAGAAATTCGCTGTATGAACCCGAATTATACTGATTTTAGGTTTCCACAGATAAAGGCACACCCATGGCACAAGGTATGCTTTCAGTTACTTTTCAGGAACGACTTTGAGGTGCCCTTTTTGTTTTTTCTTTATGCAGATAAAATATTACGAATTCTTATATTTTGTTGTGTGTGGATGCTGAGATCTGCAAGGAAAAAAATTGTTGATCATTTAAGTAACATAATTGGTGTCCTGGTATAATTAGATTTATAGCAGAGTTTCATTTAGTTGTTCATTGGTTTAGGTTTTCCACAAGAGGATGCCTCCAGAAGCAATTGATCTTGCATCACGGCTGCTGCAATACTCACCAAGTCTTCGCTGTACAGCGGTGAGTTCAAGTTCTTTTTTTGTTTTTCTTCTCCCCCTTGCATAGATATGCATGATTCATATGTGATAGGGCAACTCTATGACAAATTTATCTTTCTTCATATTCAACTGCAGTAAATGGCCATCCATTTTTTTGAAGAAAAATGAATTTTGGTGTTTCTTTTTTCTGCTTTAGATGCATGTTTGTCCACTGATATGTGACAAAATTTCTTCTTTTTCACAGTTGGAAGCATGTGCACATCCTTTCTTTGATGAACTCCGAGAACCCAATGCTCGCTTACCAAATGGCCGATCTTTACCACAGCTCTTCAACTTTAAACAGGAAGTATGTGAACTATCTGTTTCTGATTTTTGTTCATCTTCGCCCTATTAGAAAAATAAAATGTGAGCACATTTGAAATATAAGATGGAATATGTTTTTAGCTGGGTGATTGCTTTGTTGCTCCTGTTATCTTGCAGTTTATTGTATTTTGTTATCTGATTCTTGTGTGTGGAACTGGGTAAGGTAATTTCTGTTTGTTCACTCAATTTTATTGTTTTTTGTTACAGTTAAATGGGGCTTCTCCTGAGCTTGTTAACAAGTTGATACCGGATCATGTGAAACGACAAATGGGTCTAAATTTTATGCACCTGGCTGGGACATAAGCAAGTGAAGTGGTATGGGATTGATATCTGGCAGTTATTTCTGTGATACAAAGGGGGGTACTATTTTGTGTTTTGATCGTCATGGGTCTGACCGGCAACAATTCTCTCTATAGCAGGATACATAAAGGATCAGGTTGCTGGATAGCTGTACTTTCTTCATGTTTTCTTCTCCCACGTTTTTTCTCCCATATCCAAATCCCCTTTTGTCAAAATCCTTTTTGTTTATGTACATGTTTGATAGTAAAGATAGCCTGAGGTGCACTTATCAGATAGCTGCTAGCAAGAGGTAAAGGTGGAGAAGCGTTCGTCCATATAGCTAGGAAGCAGGCCCCTAATAGAACGGCCCAAAGAAAAGGGGTGGGCTTTGGTGTTGGATGTGGGCGGTTTGCTTTCACTTGCCTGTGTTGTTTCCGATTAGTTTTTGGTGATTTGTGGTGGCTGACTTAAATTAATTGCAGACAATTGTCATCACTCGCTGTTTGTGCAAAAGTAATGCTATTGCGTTCTCGTGTAGTAACTGTACTCATTCCATCCTTGTATTTCGACTTTCAGTTACTGGGTTTTCCATTCACAATCTGTTTAATATTGCTATGGTTGTGTACATCAAATGTTTCTGTTTGTTTAAGCAAAAGTTCATTTTATTAGTTTTGCAAATCTAATCCCCCAGCATGTTCTAGCTTAAGATGTGCCAGCTGCAAGAATCTGAGTTGCATGGAGAAAAATATGGGTTTGTTAATTTGTGAAGATTGAGCTTTAGAAAGGTGGAGATTGAGCTTTAGGGTTGATTGCTGGTAATCTTTGGAGAGGGTGGATTACTGATTATCAACCTGCAAAACATGGCTGTAACCTATAACAGTTGCAATTTATGCCAAATAATTCTCGTGTAATGCTGCCTGCAAGTAACCTCACTGGTCTCACCTTTACCTCTGACGGAATCGTCCACATGGTCTACCTTTCTCAGGCGAAAACATACGATTTGTGTTTATGGAGTATAGAACTTGGCATTCTCTCTTGAAGGAGTCTTGAAAGTTGTTTGTTTCTGCTCTTCCATCGCTTCCCAACGGCGGCGTTCGGACTTGACGCCGACATAATTCCAAGTACATGTATTTTCGCGCCAGTAGCGAGGGCTCGAAGACCATAAACTCAAAAAAATTTGAAGCTGTGCTCCTATAGCTTAATCTGAGCCGTTGATTCAATTTAATGAGTCAAACTAAAAGTCTTAAACGGCCATGACTTAATTAATAGCATATGAGGAAAAAGGAGACAAGGGGACCATACATGTTATGCCCGAATCTCGAGGCTGTCTAAACACTACTGGAGCCATGCTTCTACTATCTCACGATCTTCCACCGAACTGATTTGAAAAATCATTCTTTGTTATTGCAGTAGTATTTTTTTCAATATATTTATTATGATTGGTAATTAAATAAATTTTATGAAAGATTATAAGAAAATATTTTACGATAATGCATAAATTCGGATGTGAGTGGTTGCCTTAATATCTATAGCTCAAGAAATTTAATTACGAAATAGGTTCAAAAATACTTTTATTATTTCCCTATATTTATTTATTTACGAATTTCCTAGGTAAGTAGAAAACTTTAATATAGGAACAGTATACTAGCAGGTAGGCATTTGACTTGAGGACATGAAGACAATATCCAAATCCATTTAGTCCTATAATCTTGCCCTTTTCCTTTTACTCCTGTCAGAGAAGTTGGGCAGTGTTGGCTTTCTCGTTGGAGCAAGAAGTAATGGCGGCCATTTTGCTCCATATCTGTTTAGCAGTCTTTTGGGTGCATTTCACTCAAGCTACTGATAGTCTTCTTTCCCCAAAAGGTGTTAACTATGAAGGTACGGCCTTCAAACTCCATATTGAAAATGATATTGCATTGCACTATCATGTAATTTGTTACTTTTCTTTGTTTTTACTGTGTGGGTTGATGAATTCAGTGGCAGCATTGATGGCTGTGAAGCGAGAAATGAGAGATGAGTCAGGTGCAATAAGTGGCTGGGATTTGAACTCTGTTGATCCTTGCACGTGGAATATGGTTGGTTGCTCTCTTGAAGGCTTCGTTGTTTCCCTGTAAGTGAAGATTTTTCTTTTTCTTTCTTTTTTAGTAATAAAATTTTCATATTTTTAGTCTTTTATACTGGATATGGTTGTTGCTAGTGAAATGGCAAGTGCGGGTTTATCAGGAACTCTTTCGCCTAGTATTGGGAATTTGAGACACCTGAGGACAATGTGAGTAGCTATACTTTCTTTCTCTCACTTCTTCACTTGATTGATGCATGATTTTCTGCTATTTTCTGAGTTCTTTTGTTGCTTTTCATGGAGTATAGGCTAATTATTGGATAGTCTTATGGCTAATGTAATATTGCTGTTATGATTATCATGTCTAACTGGACTAACTCAGTTTGCCATTTTTTTAAATGAAAAAAAACTCAATTTGCCAGTTGAGGAATCTAAATTGAGAATTTGAAAACACTTCCCATTTGTAAAAACTTATGAGCCTTGATATTGTAAAACCATGCTATTCGTTTGAATTCACTGATACTGTATTCAGAATGTTCTTTTTTGTTCCGGTTGCTTCATATAAATGAAGCAGATTGAAGTCTTGATAATGTATTTTGCATTAGCTAGCTAATCTTCATGATCTATACTCGCAGGTTATTGCAGAACAATCACTTATCTGGTCCCATTCCAGAAGAGATAGGAAACCTTTCAGATCTTCAAACTCTTGACCTCTCAGGTAACCAGTTCGTTGGTGGTATTCCGAGCTCTTTGGGATTTCTGACCCATCTAAGTTACTTGTGAGTTTTACTTGACCTCAACACATGACATTTGAATTACTGTTGTTTTTTTTTTTTTTTTTTTGTCATGTTTCTTCTGATAATTTGTGTGTTATGTAAAAGTTTAACATGCAAACTTTTCCAGGCGACTGAGCAAAAACAAGTTATCTGGACAGATTCCAAGACGGGTGGCCACTCTTTCTGGACTTTCATTCTTGTATGTGGTCTCTACTTGTTAACTATATTTCCTCATATAGTGTATGTAAATTTTAACTTTTCTACCAAATGCTTGGCAGGGATTTATCATTTAACAATCTTAGTGGTCCAACTCCAAAAATATTAGCAAAAGATTACAGGTGAGATCCTTGTTAGAACTGTAATTATATATAAAACAAAGGGCTACTTTGTTGATTCTTACATGCCTCATATTTAGCCTGTAGATTTTTTTCTGTGAGCAGCTTTGACTGACAATTGTGCATTTATTGCTCATTTAGGAACCTTAGGTTATTCTGGGTTATCATTGATTCAATCTAAGGGATCAATGCAGAGACTCTAAGAGTTGTTATCTGATGTCGTTGAGCTTGCTAAATGCTTGAAATTGTCTAGTAAATTGTTTTAAATAGAATGAACAGATAGCAGGTTTCATTTTCTACTGCTGTTTCCTGTTGCATCATAATGTCAGAAAATCTCGTGGAAAGCAAAAATAAAATAAAAAATAAAATGATAATAATTTCTGCTTGCAGTGGTTGGATGAAAGTTGATAACTTTGAGTCCCATTAATGTTTACCAGTGGTATCTATATGCTTTTGTTGCAGTATTATGGGGAATACCTATCTTTGCACTTCCTCACATGCACAAAATTGCATGGGTATCTCAAAGCCAGTGAACGGTAAATGAAGTTTAACCAGTTAAATAGTTCTGCTGAAGAGATGCACTTTAACAATGTGACTACAAATGCTTGATCCTACATGCAGTGACAGTTTCATCTGAGCAAGCCAGCAGTCATCACCGGTGGGTGCTCTCTGTTGCCATAGGTATCAGCTGCAGCTTTGTGATTTCTGTAATGCTGCTTGTCTGTGGGGTGCATTGGTATAGATCTCGTCTACTCTTCACATCATATGGTACTTCCAAACTGAAATGCTTTTCTAAGTTTCCCAGATGAAAATAGATCATGCAAAACAATATTAATTGTGATAATTGCATTTTGCAGTGCAGCAAGATTGTGAATTTGATATTGGTAATTTGAAAAGGTTTTCATTCCGCGAACTACAAATTGCTACAAGCAACTTTAGTCCGAAAAATATCTTAGGGCAAGGTGGATATGGAGTGGTTTACAAAGGATGCCTCCCAAATAAAACTTTCATTGCAGTTAAAAGGCTGAAGGATCCAAATGTTACTGGAGAAGTGCAGTTCCAAACTGAAGTGGAAATGATTGGCTTGGCTTTACATCGAAACCTCTTAAGTTTGTATGGCTTCTGTATGACACCTGATGAGAGGTTGCTTGTATATCCGTACATGCCAAATGGCAGTGTTGCTGACCGCCTGAGAGGTTTGTCTCATTTTGCTTGTTCAAACTCTACTATTACTTAATTTGGGTAAGTAGGATTTATATTATTCTCTGGCTCTAATGCAAATACAGGCAGTTTCTCATTAAAATTTATGCACTAAACAGTTGGCATATAGCATTAAAGTCCACAGTAGTTCTTTGAAGAAACTCTTATTTATTTATCTATTTATTTTTTCCTGCTCAAAATGTTTTTCTTATTCCTTTTTCCAATATATCTCAGACCACAATCGTGACCTAAATGTTCCCTCTTTGGTTCTTCAACTAGAAGCTGAATCTTTTCTCTGGTTGTACTTGAAGGTTTTCTTAATGCCTATTTACAAAAGATCTGCTACATGGTTATTTATTCAATTCTACTTCGCAGTGACCTGTCAAGAAAAACCATCTTTAGATTGGAACAGACGTATACACATTGCCCTTGGAGCTGCCCGTGGACTTCTATACTTGCATGAACAATGCAATCCAAAGATAATTCACAGGGATGTTAAAGCTGCAAACATTTTACTTGATGAAGGTTTTGAAGCTGTAGTTGGAGATTTCGGACTTGCTAAGTTATTGGATCTTAGAGATTCACATGTCACTACTGCAGTGCGGGGGACTGTAGGACACATTGCACCAGAGTATCTTTCAACTGGGCAATCATCTGATAAAACTGATGTTTTTGGATTTGGCATTCTACTTTTGGAACTCATAACAGGGCATAAGGCATTAGATGCTGGGAATGGTCAGGTTCAGAAGGGAATGATTATTGACTTGGTAAGTTATTTCTCTATATTGTACTCTACCACTGAATTTAGAATTTACAAACATCTCAGTCTTCCATGTTTATATTGAGGTAATGGGTGCTTCTAGTCCAGTTAATCCATCATTACAGTGTAATTTTCCATAGTCACGGCTCAAATGAATAATTGCTCTGATATGTAGCATCAAAGTGTAGAAGGCCTCTTAAATTGAATTTGGAGAATGATTGCCAAAAATCTGAATATTATAAAATCAAGTGTACAAATTGTGTTGAGATACCTTGCATATCTCGTTCTCATGGCATATATAGGAAATTATACCAACTCCTTTTGAGCTGCTTTGCCCATAATTGCTAGTGCCATGTTGAGGAATGGGTCTATCATGCCCGCTTAATAAATTCTTAAGTATGGAGGATTACAGTGGGAATAACATGTATCTTCTAGTTGTATGATTGCTTTCTGATGACTGGAAACTTGAAATCATCTTCATCTCATCTATTTAAAGATAATTTTTGTACCGAACTATAATCCACCATATGTTCTCCTAATGTGTTGCTCCAAATATAAAATTGTAAATGGTGGTTGAATTTTACAGGTTAGAACCTTGCACGAGGAAAAGAGGTTGGAAGTGCTAGTGGATAGGGATCTGAAGGGATGTTTTGATGCGTCCGAGCTGGAAAAAGCTGTGGAGTTGGCCCTGCAGTGTACTCAGTCACATCCTAACCTTCGGCCAAAAATGTCAGAAGTCTTGAAGGTCCTGGAAGGTCTTGTTGGGCAGCCAGCAATGGAGGAATCACAAGGTGCATCTAATATTGGTGAGGCAAGGACATGCAGTTTCTTGAGCCGTTGTAGTGAAGTTCATGAGGAATCTTCTTTCATCATTGAAGCAATGGAGCTTTCTGGACCTCGGTGACCAAGTATGGTTTCCACTTTTCTGAAATCAACTGTATATAAGTTTTTCATTTAGTATGAAATGGTATAATTTTCCCTTTCTGAATTTAACTGTGAGTGAGTAGTTTTGCATTCGGTAGTCGGACACTATTTTGGATACAAAAATCTGTTCATTTATTCTTTGCATTTTGCAGTGGGGACTGCTTTGGTTAGAAGGAAGCTAAAATGTTCTTAAATTTTGCATGTGGATATTTAGGTAAACCGGGGTCAATGACAGGTCCCTCGGTTGAAAAATGAGCAAAACCTGTTACTACTGATTACTGAGCATTTTCTTGCAACCATGATGATGTTTCTCTTTGAATGAAAGCAAGCATATGCGATCATGTCGAATTCAAAAGTTAAAAAAAGGTGGGTTAAAATCCTTCTACCATGCAAATTAGGTCAACTTAAAGGATGTAGGTTTTTGTTCTCTACAGAAGATGTGAAAGGTGATCCACTAAAGGTTCCAGAACAATAATTGTTATCCTATCATGGAAATGCTACTTTCTTGATTATCATTGAGAGAAACTTCACTCAAGATACTCCTTAGTCTTCTGGGCCTTCAATTTTCATGTAGAAAAATGTCCCAGCTTTTGTGCTTTTCATCCATGGCCGACTTGCATCCTCTTTTTAAATCTTGTTTTTTTAGCATTTTCCGCTTCTTAGAATATTTATGTCTTTGTTTACAGGAAACTATCGCACATGGCATGCGATTGCAACTTACATTTGCATGATTAGGCTAGAAATGGCAAATTTAAGTGAGATCCACCGTGATTGATGATCCTTGCCAAGGATTTTCTTCCTCCTTTTAAATCCCACCAAACGACTTCATTAATGGCTGGCTGCCATTTGTTCATTGCACATGCCATCTTTACATTTTGTTCTTAGGCCCGTCGCTTTTTCTCATAATTGAAGGATGTTACTTGTACAACCTGGCTGACACTAACCAGCAGGCCCCATCGTCCTTTGCTTATTGCGTGAATCTGATCATTTTTATGTGTTTTGTGCTCAAGTTGGGGCTTAGTTAGGATTGACATACTTGTGGTAATGCCCTGGGTCCAAGTGCCACCCCTACTGTAGTTGCATTGAAAGGGAAGAATAAGAGTCGGCATTAATATGGATTATGACCTCTTTAACTCCTCAAAGATTACTCAATTTTTTGTTCGGTTGGTACACACCTGCCCTTGGACTTTTGGTCCTTTGATTGCGCAAATTCTTGACAATGGAGGACCCAAATTCTGAAGGTAATTTGGTAGCTACCAGCACTTTTCCAATGGTCCAATTTCTGCATAAAAAGAGTGTTCCATGTGAATGAGTAACCACAAAATGGTTAAAGGAGAGCGAATTATGTAGCGTATAGCATTGAGAAAAGAAAATGTACACTAGTGAGCAACTTGAGAATAAGTGGATATGCTGGCCAAAGACCAACATATTTTGATAGCAAAAATAGTGACAGTTACACTTCCATAAAATGCAAGAAAACTAAATTGAACGAAGTATAGCTTTTGATATACCTAATTTTTTTTAATTAAAAAAAAAAAGAAAAACCCTAAAATGCACAATCATTTATCAGCCATTTGGATTCATTAGGTGCATTATGCATCTGGATAGGACATGATCAGTAATTTCATATATATATATATATATATGCACCGTTCAAAAAAGTGAGATCCCATCAAATTAATAGGTTTAAAAAGTGCAAAGAATCCTACCACGATCATAATTAAGGGTTTACATAAGCTTGATTTGGGACTATGGTGTGATTCCTGCTGCTGTTTTGCCCAATTATATTATATATATGCATTTAAAATGGTATACCAGAAGATTTGCAATTCAATGTCAAAGAAACCTCTAATGGAACCAGAACATCATTTATTTATTTATTTTTAATTAAACTAGCAAATAAGAGTGAAAGGCTGTATTAAAATAAAAGAAAAGACGTAAAGAGAGAGGCTGGCAAATGGCACGTAAAGAATTTTTCAATGCTGCCCCCAGAAGAAACCTGAACCGGTGTGTACAACTCCTGCAAGCAAGACAACATAAAAGACAATGCCAAGCTTTTCACCTGATCCCCCAAGGTTTTGGTTCTGTTGTGTATTGAATGGGATTGGATAAGCCACCAATCAAGCCAGCATCTTCCTTGCTTTCCCCCGTTCCAAACGTTACGTTGGATTGAAAATTCAGGTTAGCCCAAAACATAATACATCAATTCCTTGCGTGTCTTCTTCCTTTTCCAAATTCAATGTTACCCCACCATTTGTCTCTTTCTCTTGTGACAAGCCTTATATTAGATCAATTCAATTCACAAGTTAGATTAAATAATTTACGTTTCTGTTGGTGTAGTGCTGTCCTCTTTCTTCTCTCTCTCTCTCTTTTTTACTATTTTTTCGGTGAATATATATATATATTTTCAAAAAAAAAAAAAAATGATTGCACAAAGAGTGCAACCTCAATATATAGAATACAAAGACTCAAATAAAGATTCAGTTAAAATTAGATTGAAAAGAGAATTAATTTCTATATAAAAACCTGATATGAGATACTTCTACAATAAAAATCTGAAAAATAAAGAGTATTATTCAGTATACTAGCTACCGACAGGTATCCTTTCTTTTTTTTTTTTAATGAGAAAAGAGAATACAACTCTTAACATATTTAATAATTTCTTATAAAATAAATTCTTCCTTATTAGGTTAAACATGAAATGGTAAACTGATCCTTTTATTTATTTAGTTTTAAAAAATCATTTATTTTCCAGCTTAATTTAAGATAAATTATTCATGCTCCATTCACCGAAAATTACCTTCTTGTTGCCTTTGACTTCAAGCCAAGCCTCAAGATTTCTAAAACTTCATGGAAAAAGTAGTATGAAATAATTTACTTCTGTAAAAAAAAAAAAAAAAAAAAAAACATTTTTACCATCTATGCAAAATAAAAAGTATTATCAACATTAACTCCCGGAATATGAATAAATCCTATCCTATTCTATATAAAAATCCAGGGAATTATATCCTAATTAGGTTATCACTAATTGGTATTTCAAATTAATTATACTTTTACTTGACGTCTTACATGCACTTTCCATTTATTTTCTTCCACCAAACCTCTATCTCTTGCAACAGCAAACTCCCAGACATATAAAACGTGCTGTCTACAGAGAACATTCGGCGTAAGTTAAATTTGTGAGACAACGTTGTTCTAAAGATAGATAGATAGAGATCGATCTCGCTTCTGTAATTTTAATTGTAGTTGAACTTGGAAGTAACCGTTTTTTTGTTAAGACATGACTGCAGGTTTTATTAGAGCTGAAGTTATCGAATGGAGTAGGTAACTATCTGGGCCTGCAGTTTTCTTTACAAAGTTATCATCTTTCAGTTATATTTACCAGTACTAAGATTGTTCAATTCTTGTGTTGTCTTTACTTTTTGAAGATTTTTTGCTTTTTTGAGGCTTTTTAAGTCGTCGTCTTTTTTTTTTTTTTTTTTTTGTCTGCTACCAACAGAGATGGTGTTGCCTCTGTGTTGATAGCTGAGGTTGTCTGTTCATAGTTGCTGATTTTTTCTTCATTGGAAATCTTTTGGAGAGGTGGAGATTATTTTGTTATGAGTAATGGATCAGGAAACACATGGAAACAAAGGAATTATTGGGAATTTGGGCAAAGGTTGTCGGGGAAGGATTGAGAATGTTAGTGATTTGGGTGGAAGTTCGACCAATTTGGATAATGGAGTTGCTGTAGAGACTATAAAGGCAATAAATTCAGGAGAGAGAGTAGCTGCTGTGGTGGAAAGTGGGGTTTTGAATGCGAATATTGAGGGGCTGGGATCCAGTGAGAGAGTGGCTAATCAGGGAACAAGTGATGGGAAAAGAATTGAAGAGTCATTGAATGAAGGAACGCTTGCAAATTCAAATAATATAATTAATGGAGCTGGACTTGAGACTGTTATTGTGATGAATTCAGGGGCGACTTCAAGTGTTAATGGAGAAATTAAGGATTTGGGAGAAAAAAATGAGGAGTTGGGGCTCAGAGGTGGAGTGATAAATGGGAAAGCACGTCAAGGGCAAGGAGATGGTGAGGTATTAAATCATGTTGAGCAAGGAAGTAGTTGGTCTTCGAGTAATTCGATTGGCGGGGCTGTGCTTGAGACTGTGATTGTGATAGGTCCTGAAGAGAATGTGGGTATTAATGGGGGAAACCAAAGTTTGAAACTCAAGGGCAATGAGATGAGGTCAAGTAAGGGAACAATGGACGCGTCAGAGACAAAAGTGAACAGAGTTGGGAAGTCATCGTGTGTGATTGATATGACATGTAGTGGTGGTGGTGGTGCTGGTGGGGGAATAGGAGGAGGAGGTTTTAAGGATAACTGTGATGGAGAAAGAGTTTGTAGGATTTGTCACTTGAGTTCTGAGGGGTTGCTGGAAGCTACTGAGGCAAGTGCTACTGCCACAGCCAATTCCCTGGATCTGATTCAGATTGGCTGTGGATGTAAAGATGATCTTGGCATAGCACATCTGTATTGCGCTGAAGCCTGGTTTAAGCTAAAAGGAAACAGGTAAATCTTTCCTCCTTGGAAAGTCAAGTTTTAGTATGACCTTTATGGTTTATATGTATACATGTTTGTTGATGTTGAGATTGGATCAGGATTTTTAATATTTGGTGGCTTTTTATCATCCTGTGTTTACTATTGTGTTTAGGGCTATGCTAGTTTGCCATTTAATCTTTATTTAAATTATCTTCCTTTTATAAAATCTTGCAAGCAATATTCCAGTTGGAGACTTGGAGTTGCTTCTCTAAGTTATTTCCGTGTTACACTTTTGGCAACTTTCTAGAAAGGCTGATTTTCTTCTTTTATTTTTGTTTTATATAGAGTTCGTGGTAAATATAACAAAGAGAAGGTCATGTAGATAAGGAAGAAGTTTCTACCTTAACCATCTTCTTCCTTTCATCTCAGCATGTTTCAATGTTGTCATTGTTTATTGGACTTAAATTCTTCTTGAGACTGTCTACTAGTGGTAGACAATCAAACTTTCTTAACTTTAGATCCTGTCTTATCTTAATCTTCCACTATCCTTTCTTTGCATCTTGGTTTTTTCAACAAGCTAATTCTATTTTCAAGATTAGCTGGAAGCAACTTTTGCCGAGCATATCATTAATATTCAAGTGCAAAATGAATTGGCAAGGAGGAAACCTTATCATATTGAATCAGTCTGATGTTGGTGTAGCAGTATTAATTATTTCGTGTATGCACATGGGTGGAACTAGGATTTTAGGAATGTGGGTGCCGGAATGAAATTTATTAGGATGCATTTAAAAATGAAATAAACTAATAATAGCTATAGAATAGTAATTAATTCTTTTTGATGCAGAATGTAGATATTCTCTGAAATGAGCCTTAAATTCAAGGGTAGATGTATAATATTTTGAAAGTCTGTCAAATTTTGGGTGTGCCATGGATCCCCTATCCATAACATGGTTCCGACCCTGTGTACACGTGATTCCAGGACCATGAGTTTGGTATAGGGAATCCTTATCATCTTTGAATTAATCTCGTGTTGGTGCAGCTGCAGAATTGCTAATTGTCTTTTGTTGTACTCATGAGTCACGAGAACATTTTGATTTTCCAATTCTATGAAAACATCATTGTAGCATTTTCTAGTTACCAATTAAATCCTGCTGGCTGTTTTCTTTTTAGTATCCTTTGCATTTTCTCACGCTCTCAAAGTACATTATTTTAAGGCTCTAAGTTCGAAAATTTTCTAGGATAATTTTCAGCAAATCCTGGTTTGTGAATTAATTGTGGTAGTTAAAGTTGCCCATTGGGAATTGATTTTCCTGGAATTGCGTTGAACTAAACCTGTCAGGAATTCATAATTGACAGATATGTCTTTCTTATTTACTTCATGCAGAATCTGTGAAATATGTGGGGAGACGGCAATGAATATTACTGGTGTTGGAGATAATCCTTTTCTGGAAAGGAGATTTATTAGTAGCACCGGTTTCTCATCCGAGGGCAGCAGAGGATGTTGGCGGGGACAGCCCTTCTGTAACTTCCTAATGGCATGCCTGGTAATAGCTTTTGTGCTCCCATGGTTTTTTAGGGTGAATATGTTTTAGAATTTCTTCCATTGTCATTCTTATGCCCACTGCTCGGAGTTGCTCCATGTGGATAATAGTATGATTCATTAACCTTTCTTGTGGAGAATCTTTACGTCTTCATAGCTTAGCCTGAACATTTCAGGCTTCAGATTTTCCAAGTTGCTACCTAAACAACAAAGTTCTAAAAGGCTGGAGTCGGATCTATAACATGCGAGTTCTTTTTTTTTTTTTTGTCTTTTTTACGTTATAGCAATTGTACACAAACAGATGGCTATTAGTTAGCTCAACTTATACACAGATGCTGCACATTGATATACAGCCGCACGCACTTTGTTTATAAATGAAAAGTCAGTTTGCTTGCTCTAAAAAAAAAAAAAAAAAACTTCGCTTCATTGCATGAAGTTTTGGTCATTAGCTTGGAAACTGTCGCTTATGTCATTAGCTAATTTTTGTGCCAAGCCATAGCAATTCCTTAAATATCACCCACGAGCTTTGTTTGGCGGATCTTTGCATGGTTGTTGAACTTTCCATTTGATCCATCGAATGACCGGGAATAGATGGGGATTCTTGTACCAAATGCTCCGGTGATTGAGGTGAGGTAAACTCTGGAGACTCTTTCAGCTATACATCAGTTTTGAGAGCTTCGAAAATGGACTACAAAATTGCCATTGCATCTCTTATACCAAATTCTCCATTGAACTTGGAGCTTTCCCTCATCAAAGGGAGCACTAGCAGGGAACGTGTGCTCTAGAATCCTCTAGTTTTCAATCCTTGCGATGGTGCAAGCAATCCTTCTTTACCAAATAGCAAATCCAAGGAGCGGACCTGTCATTGAATAAACTAATGAGCCTGCATGTACTGCAAGGAAAAAAAAAAAAAAAAAAAAGGGGTCATCATGATGAATTGTGTAGTAGAAGTGAAAATTACAAATCAGCCCACTTATTTATATAGCCTACAAGGTTCCGACATGCTGATGTTGAATACACACAAATATAATGGCAAAAAAAGAAAAAGAAAAAGAAAAAAGAAACACAAACTAGACCTCAAAAATGAATTCCATGGCTCTCAATAGTCAACATGATGGGCATAATGTATAGCTAAAATAACATTAACAAGAAAAAATAAAATAAATGGGTTCATTACTATTCAATGTTCTGTTCACTGTGACTCATTGTCATTGTGGATTGTTATTCATTGGACCTGTGCTGTTGTCTTTTCTTGTGCTTGAGTTTTTTTTTAGATGGGCTTTTTGCTGGTCATGCGCTCTGGCTTGGGATTCATAGTTTGATTTGGCCCTGTTGTTGGCTTTTTTGGACACAATTTTTCCAGAAAAGATCGGTCTTCGAAACATTTTTGCCTATGTTCCCTTGCCCCTAGCAAGCAGTTGCTTTCTGTCCTTATGTTTTGTGTCTAATTTCTCATATGTCATTATGTGTTTTTGTGCAATTACCATTTTTTTTTTTGACCCTCTCCTAATTTCCTTTCTGTCATATGTGTTCTTTTCGTAATTGTGCTTTTTTCTTGGACAGAGCATTGAATGCTCAATAGTTATGGTGTCGTGGAAGCTTTCATTTTTCCTCTATTTTCTCTTGCATTTTTCTTTACTCACAGTGTTTGCTAGAGAAAATTGTTGAATGATTGTTTTGGGCGAGATCGATGTGTTCCTTTGGCAACATTGTACGAAATTGGTCATTCGTGGCTCTTTGGCATTCCTTCTAAGTTGTTTTTAGCTAGATTTTATTGGTTTTGAAGCAGATAGGTATTTTTATTTTGTATCTTGTTGCCCATCATGTTGTTTGTTGTTAGAGGGCTTAGGGAATTATTGTTTACTATAGAATTGATGTTTTCTTGGTGACATTGAGTTGAATCAAGTCAATTTCTGCTCTTTGTCGTTTTCTCTCGATTGTTTTTGACATGATTCGGAGTTTATTTGCAATTAGATAAGTGCTTTGGTTTTGTGACTTGCCATTGTCGTTACTTTTGTTTGTTATCCTTTCTCTTTTGCTTGATTGATTTGTCCCGTGAATCAATTGTGGCCATCTAATTAGGAAGTGTGATATATGCCTATTAGCACATTTATTTGGTGTTTCAATTTTGTTAAGTTGTTTTTTGTTAAGGTTATGATCTATGGCCATGTTTTTCTGTTCTTTCCGTTGAGGCCATGTTTCCCATTTCTTTTCAGCACTTTCCCAACTCATTAGGAGATGTGCACCACAAAGTGCACTTAGTGGTAGTTATTTCAGCTTTTTTAAAAAATGTATAAATAAGAGAGATTAATGAATATAAGGTATTGAACTTTTCATAAAAAAAACCATTCCTCTAAAATAGTGAGATAAGTCCTCCTTGCGAGCTCTTTCACGTCAAGGACCATTCCTCGACGAGGCAGAGGCTAAGCGAGAGCTTGCCCGACTCGGGCACCTAATATGATGGTATCGTAGTAGGGATCCGATAATGGTGACACCCACCGCAACCCATCAAAGTAACCAATAGAGGAATCTCTTCAAGCAACCCAACAATAAATGTTACAAATGCAACATGAGATGCATGAAATGTTCATCTAGTTATAAACACAAATGGATAAGATGAACTCAAGAAGAACTGGAATCGGGACATCACAACAACGAATCCAATTCCCAATAAGCACAAGGGACAATCATACACGGAGTAGTCCGTCCGTATTTTCCATGGTATGATGGTATTGATGACCCTATCACTTGGATCGATCGGGCTGAGCAATTCTTTGCATTCCATAATATAAATGAGTAGTTATCATTAGTAGCTTACCATTTAGGAGGAGAAGTTCATCTCTAGTTTCAATCCTTCAAAAGAACTTGAGTCTAGGTTACTTACGCTAAATGAATGATGCGGACCAACACTACTCGGACGACTTCTATGGAGAACTCACAAAGCTCATATAGATCGGGTTAGTTTACAAATATCATATCCAATTTGGTCGATTGCTTGCAAGAGCCGGTTCACTAATGAAACAACAAGCATATCGGCTTGCTTCATCGGCGAGCTTTAAGAAACCATCCGAGGGGAAGTTTATGTTACAAATTTGTAAACCCTCCTACACATTGCCAGCCTTACACATCTCTACGAAACCAAATATCGAATAAAAAAATCCACGAGACTTCGAACCTATACTCATTAACGCCGACTAAACCAACTAAAATGTTCGAAACCAAAACAAATGCCAAATCAAATACACCAAGCCATAAACCTACCGGTTAAGCGACTTACCGTAGAGGAAGTGTAGGATCATCGACACTAAAATTTATGTTACAATTATTATGAAGCTTATACCCTAGGCCATCTCTACAAGAGACTATTCCTCATCGATTGCAAACTTACGGAAGAATGAGGTATTGATGTGGAGAAGGAACCCAAAACCGAACCAAAAGTGGCTAAAGTTTCCCTCATGCCATCATTAGGTTTACTACACCGCAAATCGTGTGGGTAACGACCAAGATCGAAGGGCGCTCGCTAGTGGCACCGCTCGGATACCCAAAGCTCCCACAATTTCCTTAATCGAGCATGGGTCTCTCGATTTGGGTTAGAGACCAAAGAAGGGGCACAACCGAAAGTTATGGTGGCCAATGGTGAGAAACTTCCCTACGAGGGACGATTACCAAATGCCGTAGTTAAAATTGATTTTCATGTGATTAAAATGAAACTAATAATGGCTTTTCACCTATGTGATCAAAGTTACCAATGGCTTCTAAACGAGTTTACTCGATTTCTATTTAATTGAAATGAAACTCGATAATGGCTTTCTACCTATGTTATTGAAGCCAACAATGGCTTTCAAATCTAATTACTCAATTTTTATTCGATTGAAATGAGACTACCGGTGGTTTCTTACCTACATGATCAAAACCACCAAGTGGCTTTCAAACTATTTTATTCAATTTATGTACAATTGAAATAAAACCGACAGCGGCTTTCCACCTATGTGGTGAAAATCGCTAGTGGCTTCTAAACGAGTTTACTCAATTTCTATTCGATGGAAATGAAATTGATGTTGGCTTCCCACTTATGTGATTGAAATCGCTAGTAGTTTCTAAATCTAATTACTCGATTTTTATTCGATTAAAATGAAACTCGATAATAGCTTTTCATCTATGTGGTCAAAAGCCGTTAGTGGCTTTCAAACCAATTTACTCAATTTTTGTTTGATTGAAATGAAGTCATTGGCGGCTTCCCATCTACATAGATGAGCCATCGGTGGCTTTCAAATCTTTCTACTCAATTTTTATTCGATTGAAATGAAATCGCTAATAGTTTTCAATCATATATGTTATTTTGCTATTATAGGCTATAGTCGCAAGGGACCCGTCATTTTTATCTTATTTGTATTATTTTTGTTTTGGGCTACAATACCAATGGACTCGTTGTTTTTATCTTCATTTGAATGATTTTTGTTATGGGCTACAATCATAAGGGATTTACCATTTTCATTCTCTTTGAATGATTTCTATTATGGCCTATAGTCATATGAGACTCACCATTTTCATTCCGTTTGAATGATTTTAGTTATGGGATACAATCATAAAGAGCTTATCATTTTCATTTTGTGTGAGTGATTTTTGTTATGAGTTACGATCGTAAGAGACTCATTATTTTTATCTTATTTAAATGATTTCGTTATGGACTCGCAATCATAAGGAACTCACCATTTTCATTCTATTTGAATGATTTTTCTTATGGTTGCAAATGCAAATGACTCACTATTTTTATTCATTTTGAATGATTTCTATTATGAGTCTGCAATCGTAAAGGACTTGTCGTTTTTATCTTTTTTGCATGATTTCTATTATGAATTATAGTTACAATGGATTCCTCATTTTTCTTTTATTTGAATGATTTCTACTATGGACTATAGTTGCAAGGGACTTGTTATTTTCATTCTATTTGAATGATTTCGTTATGGGTTGCAATCATATGAGACTTGTCATTTTCATTCTATTTGAATGATTTTTGTTATGGGCTATAGTTGCAAAGGACTAACCATTTTCATTATGTTTGAATATTTTTCTTATGGATTGCGGTTATAAGAGACTCACCATTTTTATTCCGTTTGAATAATTTCTATTAAGGACTCGTAGTTGTAAGGGATTCATTGTTTTTATCTTGTTTAAATGATTTCTATTATAGGCTACGATCGCAAGGGATATATTATTTTTATCTTATTTTAATGATTTTTATTATGGGCTACAATCACAAGAGACTTGTCATTTTTATTTTATTTGAATGATTTCCAAAGGACTCGTCATTTTTTACTTAATTTAAATGATTTATGTTATAGGTTGTAGTCATGAGGAACTCATCATTTTTATTTTATCTAAATGATTTGTTTTTTGTTCTGTTGTTGTTAGTGACTTTCTACTTATGTAGACGAAGTCACCAATGACCCCTTATCTTTTTACTTATGTTAATCAAAATTGTCAAGTGACTTCCTATTTATGTAAACAAAGTAGTCGACGGTTTTCCGATTATGTTAATATAAACTCGTAATACTAAGAGACTTGTTTTTACTAATATAGGTTTATAGTCATTTGAGTTTTAGCCAACATTTCATTTTTATTCATATTTTTCCTTAGAGTATGGGTATAAGCCTTTGATTGACCTAAACCTTAAATTACTCGATTAATTTACCTTAATAAAATAAATTCACTTAAATAGGCATAGAAACATAACATAGCAAAATCAAATTTTTATTTTCACATGCATACAATGCAACCTACCTCGGGTAGGACAAGATGGTGGTGATGTTAAATTTTCATATATGTAATCGACTCCTTACCTAGGTATCTATGTTAACTAGTTTTATTTTAGAGTTTTTTAGTTCTACCCAATAGCTAGGTGGTGACTCATTCCCACTCGCGGGCCCTCGTCGATAAGTTATTATGCAAGGGAGGTCAAATTATTAAAATGAAGAAAATATCAAATTTATTTTATAAGTAAGTTAATTGATTTTATCATTTGATTGATAGACAATTTGATGAGCATAATAGTCTAGTTGGCTTATTTTATCAAGTTTCTTCATTTTTAATACACACACACACACTCTTTTAATTGTTTCGATTAAATCCGTTTATTGGGGTTCCGTATATGACACGGGTCACATATTTAAGAGTGGAGGCATCACGTCGACTCATAACTAATGACATTATAAAGAACGGACATAAACAAAACAAAATAAAGAATAGACAGATTCAATGAGTATGAAAAAAAGTATAAACTCTCATTCAAAATGAGTCATAAAATAAAGAGATTATATATGGGGAAAACCTATATTTTTACCTAGTCAACTAATTTTATCAATGTTATGAAATAATGAATGTTCATATTCATTTCATATGCCAACTACTCATAATCTTTAATGCGATTCAATTCACCATTCAATATGAGAAATTAAAAGGATCGTGTCTCCGATTCAACTAGTTATGCACCTTTTAATTGTTCATAGTCCCTTCAATTTTTCTTCATAATCTTGAAGCTTATAAATAGGCTTAATTGTTCATTAGTTGGTGAAGTAAAACTTTTGTAAAAAGTAAACGTTATTTTAGAGTTACTATCACTTATATTCACTTTCTTTCATAATGAATTTTTTTTTATCATATTTCTCTTCAATTCTTTTACTATTATTATTATTTTTTTTCAACACATTATCAACATAAGTACTCCATTAAAAGACCCAAATTATCTAAATTAGTAAGAATCTAATTTATCATTTATTTTAAATCTAATAATATGTAGAGTATAAATTTAAAATTTTTGAATTTTATTATCTTTATGTATCTAATTTATCCTTTACTTTAAATATAATGATACATAAAATATAAATTTAAAAATTTTGAATTTTACTTGTTATGTTTGTTAGTGTTTTCTAATACTATTATATCTTATATTATATAATTTTTATCATGTCAAACCTCACAAAGGTTGATTTGTTGGCCCTTGACATTTTGGACAATAATTATTTATCATGGATTTTTGATGATGAGATACATTTAAATATTAAAGATCTTGGTAGTGAAGTTGGTTGTTTGTTGATTATAAGCATCAATTTCATATCCGAATCTTTTAAATTAGAATGTTTTTTGATGAATACAATTAATTCTTAAGAAAGTAGATAAAAAAATAAATCAATTTTGATTTTAACAAAGATCTAAATGTTCATTTCACAAATAGAAATCAAAATAAAAGTTCATTAAGTGCCATGCTCAATTAAAGTAACTAAAACACCAAAAAAAAAAAAAAAACCACTAATACTAAAATCAAACCTTATAAAACCAAGAAAAAAACTTAAATGAGGAGTATGTTTTTGTGATTTCTTTTAAATGCAATTGTTGCTAAGACCTAAGGTGTAAAGCTTTCCATCATAGTTGTTTCCATGGGAGAGTGAGATTGAAGATGGCTTTAATTTCAATTCAACCGAGAGTAAGGTTGAAGTTTCTCTTTAATTTTGAAGAGATAAAATGAGCCCCTCTTTCATTAAAATTGAGAGTGGAATGAGAGAATTGTGATAGAGTATATGAAAATATGAGGTGTTATTTACGTCAAATTACAAGATAATCTACTAAATTATAATTTGTTGTATTTTTAATGTGATATATTTCATGCATAAAGTTTGTGAAAATACCATTACTTTTTTGTTCAAGTAATCGTATGAAATTCTTTATATATTTTGTATTTTGCATTGAGGAGGATTAGATGTCTTTAAAATCTCACATTTTTATTAGTTAAATGATTTTGAATGTTCCATGGAAATAACTTTGCCATGGGTAGTTAAGAGAGAACCTAGATGAATAAAAAGAAGTTAGCACGTAATCATTAAAAATCCGTTGTAGTCTAGTTGGTTAGGATACTCGGCTCTCACCCGAGCGACCCGGGTTCAAGTCCCGGCAACGGAACTTCTTAATTTTTTTGGCTGAATCTTCTTTTTCCCCCCATTTCGCACGGGTAATATGGTCAATTGAGTCAGTAACCAAAGGAAGACAGGCACACGTAGCATAAAACCCTAGTAGTTGTCCCTCACATTATCTTCTTGTTAAAACAAACTCCACAGCCTCTCCTTCTCTGCCGCCATTCAACTGCACTCACACACCATCACAATGGTATTATTATTTCTCTGTCTTCTCTTTGAATTTTCTGCAGATGCTGTTAATGAATCTTTCTAACTATTTATTGTTGTGTTTTTGTTTTTTGTGTAAAACCAATCAGGCTTCGGAGAAGAAGCTGTCAAACCCAATGAGGGAAATCAAGGTCCAGAAATTGGTCCTCAACATCTCCGTCGGTGAAAGTGGAGATCGTCTCACTCGTGCCGCCAAGGTGCTCGAACAACTTAGTGGCCAATCCCCAGTTTTCTCCAAGGGTATGCATCATTGTGTCTCTTTTTTTTTTTTTTACATTCATTTTTAAGTCCTTTTGTTTTGATTTGTTGTTATTGGTTTTTCATGAGCAGCTAGGTATACTGTGAGATCTTTTGGGATTAGGCGTAATGAGAAGATTGCTTGCTATGTGACTGTGAGGGGAGACAAGGCTATGCAGTTGCTTGAGAGTGGATTGAAGGTGAAGGAGTATGAGCTTTTGAGGAGGAACTTTAGTGATACCGGTTGCTTCGGGTTTGGTATCCAGGAGCACATTGATCTTGGCATCAAGTAAGCTCTTTATTTTTTTAATTAGTTTTACCTATGTTTTATTTATTTATTTTTTCTGGAATTATATTGTTATTGCTTGTGACCAATTTGAATATGGGGCTTAGACATTTTGCCAATTTTGAAGCTTTTTGCTAGAATACATGCGCTTTAGATGGTGCGACTAGGTTGCTGAAATGGGGTTTGTGTAATCTTAAAATTTGCTTTAGATGGTGCGCCTAGGTTGCTGAAGTGGGGTTTGTGTAATCTGAAAATTTGCTTTAGATGGTGTGACTAGGTTGCTGAAGTGGGGTTTGTGTAATCTGAAAATTTTTCGACTACGGTGCATGAAATATTATTAGCTTTGTTTATAGATTAACTTTTTTATGATGTGAGTGCAACATTGTTTTAGTTTAGGCGTTTTGCGACTCCTATTTAAATTTGATTTGGAAATTTGAGATTTGTTGGATTTATGAGAGGGCTTTTATTTGTGCGCCACATGTTTATTATAGCAAATTGAGCTTAATCTGAAGCTGAAGCCATGGTTTGAATTTGATGTCAGTACGCGATATTGTTCTTGAAGATTATGTGTTTTAAATTTTGCACTCAAAAAGGTATGGAAGGTTATTTTTCATGCCTGTAGGTGCAAGCCATAATGTTAGTATTAGCTGGATTTGGAATTTTTGTTCCTATTCCATAGGGTATCTGCAAAGATTATTTTGGGGATACCTGTCTAGCAAGGTTTTTTTTTTTTTTCATGTCTCTCTCCTTTTATTTAGTGTCTGTAAGTAGCACTCATATAAACCTTGAGATTCTATTAGGTGGTCTTATAAGCTGGGTGGATTTTTTTTTTAATGCTCAACCTGGTTTTGTATGTTGACCATAATGTTTTATCATCTCTTCTCAGGTATGACCCTTCCACTGGTATTTATGGTATGGATTTCTATGTTGTTTTGGAACGCCCTGGATACCGTGTGGGTCGCCGTCGCAGATGCAAGTCACGTGTAGGAATTCATCAGAGAGTTACAAAGGATGATGCAATGAAATGGTTCCAGGTCAAATATGAAGGAGTCATCCTTAACAAGTCCCAAAATATTTCTTAGATCTATTCCTGACTTCTTTTAAGTTTAAACATTGGCAAGTCGTTTACCTTTGGCAGGAATTTATGTACTTTTGGTGTTATAATTTTCATCTAGAGTTTTTGAATTGGTAGAATCCGAAGTTCAATAATTTTTGGTGTTCTTGTTTTAACTGTTTGTGTTTTATTAATATATTGGAGTTGGATTATGCAGATATCATGCGTCCAATACTCCACCAAGTCCAAATCATTGTGGTTTACTATAATAATAACTGTGAACTGAGAAATTGTAGATGCCTTATAGGTCTTCTAAGGGTCAGTGGGAAGAGATATCTTTACCAGTTGGATCACAATCAAGTTGTATTGGATATGCAACATGTCTCTGTCTTATTCTGTCGTTGTAAATACTTTGTTTGCAATGGCATTGAAAGCTTGTCTGCTTGATGGGAAAACTATTGGAATTGAAAGGAATTTTCTGTGCGCCAAGTGCAATTTGACCCATGGATTACATTTGTATTACAAATACAAATATTTCTAAAAAAATTTATCATATTGCAATTTTTGTTCGTTCATGTATGGTGACTTGGTGGGTAGGGCTCAAATCTGAGGCCTTACTCTTCTCCAATAGACTAATCTCTTTGGAGTAGACCACGTCCCCTGGTCATTTGCCAAAGTTGCCCCATTGTAATAAATTTGCTTATCACCTTGGTTGGAGGATTGCCAATCTCCTCAGGAATTGATTTGTGCGAGAGGCCGGATGGATGTTGCTTTCATGAATTATAATGTATTGCAGTGTGTTGGTGTGCATTATCCCAGCTAAGGGAAATCTGCAAAGTTGGGCCTATTAATCCAAAATGGGCAGTGGCATCTTGGAAGCAATCTTTTGCCTTTTGACAAAGGAACCAAGCAAAGATTTATCCAAATTTATCTGTGTTTTCTACGATACGTATGCTTGATGCGTAAATCACTGAGCTCAATTGAAGTATGGGACCAAACAACCTTACAGGAAGAAAAGCAAGTCAAAATTTAAAACTAGCCTTTCCCTGTGGGATAGCAGGAACGCTAAAGATGGTGGCATAGCTTCTGTCAGTTTCTTTAACACCACAAGCCATAGCTTAAGTACTTATTTTCATATGAATAGTCAATCTCTTCTCTTCCTCCAGCTAGTACCAAAAAGTTATTCCAAAAGCTTCTTTCAATCCCTGTGCCCCAAAAGGGAGATAAGAAAGAGGTTATTTAGTAACAGTAGCTATATCAAAGCTCAGCGTAGTGGTCACAGGTTTCATTGCTTTTTGCAGATTCCAAAAACGAAAATAATAACAATAAGGAAATAGTTATTGAATGATCGAATTTACATTCACCATTAAGAGCATAAAGTTGAATCCAAAAGCAACAGGATAGGCAAAAGTAACACAGGAACTGCATTTTGAAAACACTCAGTTCTTGGAAATTAAGTTTCTTGCTGCCACGTTTATTCGTTTCCAGCAGCTAGTTTGCCTGTCTTCTGGTTCAAGCAGTTTCCATTTTTTTTTTCAGGACCTCAGCAATTCCAGAAGCTCACCCTTCTTCAACTTCGAGTAACCTTTAATCCCTCTGGACTTTGCTAGTTCCTTCAGCTCGGCCAGTTTCATTTCTGCTACTCTTGGCAACTCTGATATGTTGCTGCAGGCTTTGGCCTTTGATGGTTCACTATTCAGCTCAGTAGTCTTTTCTCCCGGGGTTGCTGGAGATGGTATTGGAGACTTCTTTGTGAAATTAGACGGTGGTCTGGTTAACTTAAAATCTGCCAAGGCATTTTGTTCTTTCGTCTTCTGGTCCTTCGGCACACTTCGTTTCTGTGTTGGGACCTTCTTCCCTTCTCTGACTGTTCTTGTGTCTGCCAAAATTATAAAACTCCAAATCAGATATGTTAAGTGAGTCAACAAAGCACATGCATAGTGGTAGGAGTGATGCGATCAAGCTTGGTAATGATACTAATCATTCAGGGGAATAAGTGATTAGGGAAATGATCACAAAATTTTCTTCTTCACCACAAGGGAATGAATCTACAGAAAGGAAATTCGTGTGACGCTTACAAGGGTTTCCAATATAAACAAAAGAGAAGTGTGCGTTAAGTGTACTAATTTTCTTTTTATATGTTAGCATTGTCATGCAAGAAAACTTTCTTGAACTTAAAGAACATTCCTCCTAGAAACTGCATGTAAAATGATTGTATCTACTGACAAACATTGATCTGGATCTGAAAGAAGCACATCCATCTAGATTACCTTTTGTATGCTTCCTCGAATAGCGAAGAGCTTCCAGAATTGAATCAGGTGGGGACTTCTCCTTGGACCTGCCAGCATTGTTCTTCTTAGTGGCTGTAGACTCTCCCTTTGAGATGGAAGACTGTATCCGTCTGAACAGGGCCATTATCTCTTCCTGGTTAGATGACAAGGGTATTTTTCTGTCAGAAGATAGGGACTTCAAATTCTCATCCTCCTTTTCTGTTCTTCCTGGTGCAGAACTTTTCCGGGGAGGTCTGCCTCTGCTACTTCCATCAGACTTTATGCTTGAAACACTTAATTGAAGCACACCATTCTGTGAAGCAAAAGCTAAGGATCCATCTGCAATCTCAGCCAAATTTAACAAGCTGCATCAAAAAATGAGCTTCTCAGTATGAAGTTCACAAAATTATTTGGCCCAGTACCAACACATAATGCATCGATAGCAAAAATTCATGATAAGTCAATGAAATGACAATGAATGAAGTCTAGCAAGCAATGAGCAAATAAAAATGGAAAAACAAAAAGTTAAACAGTGTTTGACAATGAATTGTTTCTGTATTGCAATCAATTTCAAACACGAAATAGGTTTGTGCTGTCGGCAGTCTCAAACTGGACGGGGCTTGTGATTTCCCAACCAATCTAACCAAAATGAGAAGAACCACTGAAACCAGCGTATGACTACCACATTGTCAAGGGTTGGGAAATGCAATATTCTTGGCTTGATCATATCTAGCAATGAGTATTCTAATTACCATAGCAGGTGCATTAATTAAATTTGAAGCTACAATTTTCAATCTACCTAGTCTGATGCCATACACCTTTCCTTCAAATTACACGAATAGTGTGATGGGCCATCAAATTACATGAGTGGCACTCAAATAATTGAACATAATGCAAGCTCACCAACACAAAATGATTTCATCCAAGTCAATACAACACTCAATCACATACTAGTATTTACCAGGACACAAGAAATGAAAATATGAGACATTTGCAGCCCATTACCACAAATCTCAATGACTCAATCACATATTGCTTTATGGTGAGGGAATCTCAACATTTTCCATTCACGACAAGGCGAACACACATCAATCGCAAAGATTAAGAGAGACAGAGAGAGAGAGAAAAAAAGCAATTTAGCATGCAGCATATATCTATCCATATATAGAATCTACTATTCTGTTACACAAAAACTTAAACCATGTGCCATCAAAAATAAAGAGACAAACTTCCAAATAAAAATTCATGGAAAGTTAGCGCAAAGTAAATGATACCTTTGAGAGAGTAACTGGGGTTTCCCAACTTGGGCTGCTGCTTGCTGAACGAAGCACAAGAGGGTTTGTTAAAGAAAGTGTTTTGAGGATAGAAGACAGTAGCAGAAACCATCCTTTCCAGGAAAGCTTTTGAGATTCTGAATATGATGCAAGTGGATTAGATTCACATGCTCTCCTACATAAGGCCTGTTGGATTGGAGTTTTTTCTATTGGTAAAATAGCTAGGCCACATGTCTCTTGGCGCGTGCAGTCCACATGCTCAAATGGATTAGAAAAGGCTGTGCCTTTTTGGCGTTAAAAGCTTCCAGCTTCAAATCCCATTTTTTAGTTATTCCTAGTTAGAACTTCCCCGCCTTCTTCTGCATCCAATGTTGATTTTAATGGCCAAAATCCCACCACCAAATTTCTCTATCTCTCGAAATAACAAAAACAGCAGAAGAAAACTCTCTTTCCAGCCTAAAGATGTGTTCTTTTTCAATAAACAATTTCCAAAGTTTGCTCCTTTATCATCACATTTACACTTCTCTTATGCCACAGTACCCATCCCAGCCTCACCAACCCAAGCCAGAGACAACAAAATCACTGATTGGAACACAAAAATCTATGAATTCTGTGAAATGGGCAATCTTAGTAAAGCGATAGCACTTCTTCACATGTCTTCAAAAACTGAAATTGAGTTAAGGACTTATTGTTCAATATTGCAACTTTGTGCAGACCTTAAATCTTTACAAGATGGCAAGAAAGTTCATTCTTTTATTTGTTCTAGTGGGATTTTAATTGACAGTGTTTTAGGATCAAAACTTGTATTTATGTATGTAACTTGTGGGGATTTAAGAGAAGGGAGGCTAGTTTTTGATAAGATTAGAAATGAGAAGGTTTTTCTTTGGAATCTAATGATGAATGGGTATGCAAAGATCGGTGATTTTAAAGAGAGCGTGTATTTATTTAGGCAGATGTTGAGTTTGGGTGTTGAAGTTAACTCTCACACAGTTTCTTGTATATTGAAGTGTTTTGCAGCTTTAGGAAGTGTAAAGGAAGGTGACTGGGTTCATGGGTTTTTGTTAAAATTGGGTTTTGGTTCTTATACAGCCGTTGTTAATTCTCTCATTGCTTTTTACTTGAAGATTAGGAGAGTTGATGTTGCACGAAAGTTGTTCGATGAATTGAGTGACAGAGATACTATTTCATGGAATTCGATGTTTAGTGGGTATGTGGCTAATGGTTTTTCTGAGAAGGGAGTTGAACTTTTCAAAGAGATGCTATATTTGGGAGTTGATATGGATTTGGCTACAATGGTTAGTGTTCTTCAAGCTTGTGCAAATTGTGGTGATGTTTCATTGGGTAGAGCAGTTCATGGTTTTGGAGTGAAGGCCTGTGTTCACTGGAAAGTTACCTTTCACAATACATTACTGGATATGTATGCCAAATGCGGTGTTTTGGATAGTGCTATTCGAGTTTTTAACATGACGAATGAAAGAACTGTTGTGACTTGGACTTCATTGATTGCAGCTTATGCTCGAGAAGGTCTCTCTGACAAAGCTATTCGATTGTTCCGTGAAATGGATAGAGAAGGTGTTAGCCCAGATATTTATACTATCACAACGGTTGTTCATGCTTGTGCTTGTAATGGGTCATTGGAAAATGGCAAGGATGTACACAATTACATTAGGGAGAATGATATGCAATCAAATATATTCGTGTGCAATGCTCTCATGGATATGTATGCAAAATGTGGAAGCATGGAAGATGCTAACTCAGTTTTTTTAGAGATGCCTGTAAAAGATATCGTCTCATGGAACACCATGATCGGAGGTTACTCAAAAAACAGTCTTCCCAATGAAGCTCTAAGTCTGTTTGGTGCGATGGTGCAAGAAATGAAACCTGATTGTACAACAATGGCATGTATTCTTCCAGCTTGTGCCAGCCTAGCTGCTCTAGATAGAGGCAAAGAGGTTCATGGTCATATATTGAGAAATGGATGTTTTTCTGATCGACAAGTTAACAACGCACTTGTTGACATGTACGTGAAGTGTGGGGTACCGGGTCTTGCACGGTTGCTCTTTGATATGATTCCTACGAAGGATTTGATCTCATGGACGGTTATGATTGCTGGATATGGCATGCATGGATTTGGGAACGAAGCTATCACCGCCTTTAATGAGATGAGGCAAGCAGGTATTGAACCTGATGAAGTGTCCTTCATTTCAATACTATATTCTTGCAGTCATTCTGGATTGCTTGATGAAGGATGGAGATTCTTTAACATTATGCAAGATGAATGCAATATCAAGCCAAAGCTGGAGCATTATGCTTGTATAGTGGATCTTTTAGGCCGCAGTGGAAAACTAGCCATGGCAGACAAATTTATAAGATCAATGCCAATCAAACCCGATGCCACAATCTGGGGAGCACTCCTTTCTGGATGTAGGATTCACCATGACGTCAAATTAGCTGAGAAAGTTGCAGAACAGATCTTTGAACTTGAGCCAGAGAACACAGGATATTATATACTTTTAGCAAATACCTACGCTGAGGCAGAGAAGTGGGAAGAAGTGAAAAAACTGAAACAAAAGATTGGTCGGCGGGGTTTAAAGAAGAACCTAGGCTGCAGTTGGATAGAAGTCAGGAGCAAAACTCACATCTTTGTTGCTGGAAGTAGTTCACACCCACAAGCCAAAAGGATTGAAGCTTTGTTGAAGAGGTTAAAATCAAAGATGAAGGAAGAAGGTTACCTTCCTAAAATGAGATATGCCTTGATTAATGCAGATGGCCTGCAGAAGGAAACGACTCTCTGTGGGCATAGTGAGAAATTAGCCATGGCTTTTGGAATGTTGAACTTGCCACCTGGGAGAACAATACGGGTAACCAAGAACCTGAGAGTATGCGGTGACTGTCATGAGATGGCAAAGTTCATTTCCAAGATAGCTGGAAGGGAGATTGTCTTAAGAGATTCTAATCGCTTTCACCATTTCAAGGATGGTATTTGTTGTTGCAGAGGTTTCTGGTGAATTAATTGCAGAGAGGGGGTTTGGATGTTATAGAGTCGATCTCATCTCTTCGTAGGTTGATTCTCATTTATTAGTTAGCAAATTGTTGTAAATAGTGGTCTAAGACAAATACATCTCAGAAGAGGATTTCAAGTCAGGGTCGTTGTCATATATTAGGTCAAATGAGGGGCATACATACCAGTAATTCTCAGTTTATTTTTGTGCTGCAAATTACTTGGATGCTAGAAGGCATTTCTTTTAACGTCATTTATGGATTATGCGAGACAGATTAAGAATTATTGTGGATAAATCTGAAACATGAAGGAAATTGTGTGTCATGGCTGTTTGACTGTGTTAGATCAAATACCTTGGTCCTTATAAAGGAGCAATTTTCCATTTCTATTTTCTCTTGTGTTATTGTTATCTCCCTCTAAAGTTAGATCCCTTATGTTATATCCAAATTTAATAAAGACATGCTAGCGCAGTTAAATTGGCTAGGACTTAATGATGCTTCAGTCATAAAATCTTGAAAGCTACTGTTACATTCAAAGTTCAATCCACTAGACGAAATTTAGACAAACCCACGTAAAGAAGAAGGCTCAAAAAGAGTTTGTATAGATAAAAAGACTTAGTATAACCATTGACAAATAGCAACGTAAGCAAAAAGACATGGAAAAACAAATCTAAATAGTGGGTTAGCAGAACTAAGTAACTAGAACCAAAAATAAAATAGACGTGATATGTTACAATGGATGAGTAGGAATGCTAGAGAAAATGAACGGACACTAAAACAATTATTTCTTTCTCATATGTGAGAATTTCACCCGTAAAAAGAAGGAGGACATATTTTATACCCAAATTTAATTAGGACTCGATGACCTAATTGTATTGGGTAGAGCTCATTGATGTTTCAATGATAAAACTTTGAAAGCTATTATTACATTCAAAGTCCGATCTACTGGACGAAATTGAAACAAGCCCACACAAGGAAAAAAACCCAAAAGAGTTTTGTAGATAGACTTGATATAACTCTTGAAAAATGACAACGTGGGCAAAAAGACGCAAGAGGAAAAATCTTATATGTGTAACAGTAGGTTAATATAACTAAGTAATTGGAATCAAAAGTATGTTACAATGGACGAGTGAGAGTGCTAGAGAAAGCAAAACATTGTAGACATAGAGAATTACAGTTCAAGGAGGAAAGTTATTGCGGTTCAAGAACGTGTCCAAGCATAGAAGAATATAAAAGAATGCAAATGCTATAAATATCAATGGCATACACAAGAAACACACAACGAATAATACAATCAACTATAATATAATACTTTTGCAAATTATTAGTTTTATCTTTCGGTTCAAATACTCGAAATACAATAGGCTATAGATTGTAAGCAAGCAACCAAATAGGTTGTACTCAAGCAGAGCTAATAGATCATTCCTAGTTCAATTGCTACTTTCATTGCAACACATATATATCTTGTCTCTCGATGTTTAGAGTTTGTTAAGTAGTTCTAGCATCCGTAAGTTTTTACATCTTTGCTTCTAGAGTTAGTTGTTATTTATGCTTTCGGGATCAATATTGTTTGTAAAGACTTTTAATTCAGTATTTACATATTCCTATTTTCATTTAACTTTGCATTCCATAGTTATAAACTTGTTGAAGTTAGTTATTGTGAGTTAATTTATGTTTTGAATAGAGATATTGTTTTCATTAATATCTTGATATTTAGTTAAATTTATTTACTTAATTATTTTAGGTGTCTAATTGAGAGTTTGAAAGATAAATTGTCTTGCAAGACTATTTTCCAACCATATCATAAAAACCTTTTGTTTCAAAGTCCTTTTAATTGAAACTAGCACAAAAGAATCCCCAACATAATGGGAAAAAAAAGTTAGTTTCTTCACTCTTTTTTTTTTTTTTTTTTTCACTCTTTTGGAGATGGCATGTGGATTTCATGCAAGGTAGAACCAATGATTTTGCCGAAGCAAAAACTGATTCTGTTGATGAGATTTGAAATATGCATGTGAAACGATGATATTTTCCCTCTTCTTCTACCATAGAGAAAAACAGATTTGGAATCATCAAGTACACCTTTGTAGACATTTGGAGATGGCCAAAGAAAAGAGATCAGAATAACACAGCTAGCCTCCTAGAATTGAGAGATGTTTGAGAGTACCTTCTTAGATGTAGGACCAAACATTAAGTTTCCACACGACTGGACTACATAAGTGAACAAATAATGAAAAGTGGTTCCAAATCTTGTCTGTGCTCCAACTGAGGCCATTTCTACAACAATATAATGTAAAAATGAAGATGACAGTATGGAGTAATCCAACCCAGAGTCCGATTCCCATTTGCTTCCCTCTGTCATGACTCACAATGAGTAAGCTTCTCTGGAGTAATCTGGAGCTATGATAGTTATCATTGCTGTACGATGGAATAGGAATGAGTCCAACAATGCACTCAAAGAGACATAGAGATGGCAATCATTATCTTCACTTTGTTATGATTACAGTTCTATTGGTAAAATTTTCATTTATATGAGCTGATCTGTGTTCGGTGTTGTTTAGTTCAACCACTAGTCCTATTTAGTTAACTAGTTGTCTATCAGTAAGTTTTTTTTTTTTTTTTCCTAAAATACATTTTCACGCTGCATGTAATCGTGCTTTATTTATACATAATGGAAAATTGTCGGGCAGACCTAGCTTACAACAGATTGTGAGCTAATAAATCTTGCAAGGTTGTGACTTGTGAAAATAAAACAAAGGCTGCTTCATTCGTTACGAGGTTATGTTACCTTGTATCTGCTAAGGTTTTCTATACTAAGAATGGTGGTGTCCTAAGCAGCAGATCTTAGTCCTAAGAATCTTGCCTGTCGGTGGAAAGGGCTTGCTTATGGCAACTCATCCACATGGTATGGTGTGTAAAACAATAGTGGGACCTCACGCTTCTGTGTTTCAAATCAGATTCAGATAGAGCCAACACCGAATTGGGGTACTAGCATCTAACATAGCAAATGAACCCATATGTTTGTCGGATTTGTCATTTATGATATGATAGACTTTCTATGTTATAACTTTCTATTTATATAATTTCATCAACCATTGCCAACTTGGCTTTTTTCCTCTTCTTTATTTTATCTCATAGCTGTGGAAATTAATTGTATTAGTGAGAGAGTATAATGGGGAAAAAACAAAAAAATAATAATGTCCACCAGCAGTACCTGAAACAATATAAATTCTGCAGAAACCAAAATAATTCATGGGGTGATGACATAAAACAATCTGCAGCCGCAAAGGCAATAGACATTTCAAGGGAAACTCAAGGCAGCAGATTGGGTTGAAATGAGAAACAGAACAAAGGCCTATCGTATCAGCAAGAAATATTTGCCAATCAATCATTTTCCATCAACTTCAAAGTTGTACTGTGAACAGCTATATAGCAAGTGGCAAGAGGCCTGTGCACTTTATAATGTCCCTATGAAATCAATTCTCTTCTTTGGTGTCTCTTTTACCTTAAAAAATCAGCATTCTTATTGTCGCATTCATTTTCACTATCTTGAAGTTTCTTAATCACTTAACGCCCCCCAGAGAAAGAACATTAGTGAATAGCCTCGTGGGCTTGAATTTTAGCTTTTATCATCATACAGCTAAGCCAGGTCCCCTGTGCGGCTCTTTTCATGTAATAAATAATCCAAATCAAATTGCAAACCAAACTCAACCAAATAATAGAGGATGAATAGAAAGGCCAAATTTACAAAACCAAATGGAAACACACAGGACGAAAAATAGAGGCTGAATTAATTAAAGTGTGATCAAGTAATTCTTGAGGCTCAAGATACATATTTCATGATACAACATTTTATCAACCACTTTTTCCCCTCTACAGAATTCAAGTAATGCATCCACAGTAACCCAATTCATAACAAATAAAAAATAGAAATCACTGCTCTTTTCTCCATCCAATGATCAAAGCAGCAAAAAAATAACACACCCAAATAATGATTCCACCCTCCCCTTTTTCCTTCTTTTCCCCCCACTACGGCTACTCTTCTTCATACTCAAGTGTATAACCAATTAAACAATCAAAATGATTTCTAGTAATCAAATTTTCCCTACTCTAAATTCTGATCAAACATTACCTTCAAATTAACCACACCTTTTGGAGAGAAGAATAAGGAAGACAATTAGGAAGACAATAGAGGATAGTGCAATTGCCACACCAAGAACAACCTTATTAGGACCATGATGACCCCCTTTCTTGCTGTTAGAATCACTACTTTCATCATCATAATCTGATGACTCACTCTCACTGCGATCTCCTGATGAATCATCTTTTGCAGGTGGTGGCGACAACGGCAATCCATGCTTATCACAAGGAGCAATTCCAAGCTTCAATTTTGATGACAAAATCGTATGGTTGTAACACAAATTGCTATTTCCACCAACCTTAAACATAGCTAATCTCTTCATAAAAGTAAGATTGAAAGGCAAAACACCATGAAACGCATTGTTCTCAAGATTCAAGTACCTAAGTTTCTTCATTTCTACAAAAAACTTTGGTATTGTCCCATTCAACTGATTTGAACTCAGATCAACATGAGCTAAATCAGGAATCGCTGACATTGAATGCGGGATCGCCCCAGATAAAGAATTAGACCGTAAAGACAAATTCTTTAGTGAAATCATGTCACCAAAACTATCAGGGATTTCCCCATTAAGCGCATTAGAGGAAAGATTGAAACTTTCAAGATTTTCAAGAAGTGTAATGGAACTGGGTATCTTGCCTTTAAGCCTATTGCCTGAAAAATCAACATGGGTAAGATTGGAAAGAAGATGCTTTGGTATGTAGCCAGTGACATTAGCATAGGAGATAGTAACAGACCTAAGCTTACGCATATTACCGAGAACCACATACAGACCACTAGTACTGACTGGCACATTACTTACAGTGAGATCAGTGAGATTGATAAAGTGAGAGAGCCCGACACCAGTGAGGCGTTTAAGAGAGTGAATGCAAGTGAAAGAATGGAGAGAGAGGGCAAGATCTAAAGGGAATCTAGTGGGGGTAGCAGGGCAGTTGGTGAAAGAGAGAGATTGGAGAGTGGACAGAGATTTAAGGGCAGTGTATGAGAGAGATAGGTCGGAGGAGCAGTTGGAGAGGTGGAGAGAGACCAAGTGGCGAAAGGGGGAGGAAGAGTCACAAATGGTGGCGTTGCGAGGAGAAGGTTGTATGCAAGGGTCTTTAGCTGTAGGGCTGTCAAGAGATTGGAGGGCTCTAAGTTGTTTGGGGTCTAAAGTGGAATGAATGGAACGAGAGGGAGTTTTGGTGGTGGGTGGAGTAGGAGAGGGAGCTTTAGTAGGAGAGGGAGTTTTGGTGGTGGGTGGAGTAGGAGAGGAGGTGGGGGAGGGAGAGGGTGGGAGAGTGGCAGCTTTAGTAGCAGCTTTAGTGGTGGTGGTGGTGGTGGAGAGGAGGAAGAGGAGGAAGAGAGGAAGGAAGAGGGGTAGCTTTGGCGGTGGTGGTGGCGACGACATTGTGGAGAGACAGACAGAGACAAAGACAGAGAGAGTGAAGCGAGCCTTGGAGGGTGTGAGCTGGGTAAGAGTGTACGGTTGTTTGTAAGTGAGAGCTTGGGAAGTGAAAGAGGATTAGTGACAGTTGGAATTTGCTTTCTTTATGAGCTCAGGTTCCTATACTATCGATTTTGTTTTATTGAAGTACTTCTTCTTTGAAATTTATTAATACAAACCATTAATGCAGTTCTTTCATAGCTGATAGTGTTATTTAATCGTTAATTTTAAAAATTTATTTAAAAAATAATAAATGTATAAATAATTTAAAAAAGAAAAAAATTAATTTATTTCACTTATTTTCCACTTATAATTACTCATTATAGAAATTAAAAGAAAATTTAACTGATAAAAATATAATTATAATCAATTCACATTACAAAAATAAAATAAACATATTCAAATTTTCTTTTTTATTATTTTTATGAGAACCATACTATGACAAACTAAACAAAATATTTTTTTTCTAATTATTTGGTTATAAAAAATCAAATTACAATTTTTTTTTTAATTTATGGAGATGAAGTTGAAATAATAACGGATTGCAGTGAAAAGAATTTTTTTTTGGATTTAATCGGACATTTTATTTCTTTTTAATTTTCATATCACTCACTTTCATACTTATTTTTTAATTTATAATTAATAAAAAGATAATTATAAAATCAAGGAAAAAATTGGCAAGACTTACTTTTTTTTATTTAGTTTTCTTATATTTGTTGTTTGATTTTCTTAAAAGTATTTGTCTATTTATTATTTTTTTCAAATATAAAAATATATATTGGAAGGACTAACAGTGTTAACAGACAAGTAGTAGAAGGTTTGAATTAAAAATTTTAAAAAGGAAAGGATCGCACTAAGAAAAAATCGATAGTAGAGGTACCCCAAGCTCATTAACCCGCCCTGAATTTATTAGTAATTTCCAGAAACGCATTCAATTGGTCCCTTTTGTGGCTGATTTTTTAACGAAACCTCAAACTTTAACTGTGTTCACACAAACTCAACTAAGACTTAAGAAAAGTAATTAACATGAACAATGTACATTTACTTCAAGGTAACTCTACAGTAATAATTTTTTTTTTTAACCATTAGGAATCCTCAAATTAGCTTTCACAAGGGTTTTTTACTGGTGATATTCCAGAGCTATCATGGTCAATTTAATCATAAGAAAAGAACATGGGGCCATTAAAAAATTAAGACCAAGGAGGTAGGTTCTGCTAAACTATTTCCATTTAATTTAATTTAATTTAATTATAGCTTGAACATGGGTCAGTCTGAAAAACAGTTGTCCCTTTAACGTATAAAATTCAATAATACTATTTTAAGTGGCTTCCAGCTCTTTGCTTGTTGCTTCCTTATCTACTTTTGTCTTTGCTTCTTCTGGGCCAATCCTTACTGCACTCTGCCTTGTATTCGTGGTAAAAAGAAAAAGAAAAAGAAAATCTTGATTTATACATAAAATTTCATTCACAAACAGGACCATGTTAAAAAATCCTGCAATGACATTATTGCAACAAATGTCTTACAGAAGCAAAGGTAGAGGCTTTTTCGTAACAAAATTTTTAGTAATTTCTCATCCTAATCGAAAAGTAACCTCTTTCTGTAACCATTTATGCTTAATAAGATTTGCTATATTTCATTCTCGAAAATCAATAAAAATGTCTTCTGAAAAACCACCAAATATAAAGTGTGGTGTTATTACAGTAAACGAGCACTGGATTTTAAAATTTTTGTCATGATTAGTTTCGAAGCTTTCATCATCATATACATCATAGTTATGGTGCTTTGATAACAAGCATCTGTTCTTTTTTATTTTTTTCCCCTTCATTATAACAGTAGGTGAGAAAAGAAGTTCTTTGGGATTTTGGTTTCCTGACTCCTACGTTTCACCACATTTTATTGCCGCAAAAGGGAGGAAAAAAAAAGGGAGGGGGGGGGGGGGGGGGGGGGTATAAGAATAACCTTCCCCAGAAAAGGTTGGACCAAAAAATCAATTCATTTCTCGGTCTAACAGTGTTTTGATTTAGAGCCTGACATGTGACATCCTGCATTTCTCACAGAGCTTGACCCTTCATAAAAATTAAATTCTCTCAAAATTTCATAGATTTGGTGACACAAAAAGCTTCATTGTTGACGACAGGACCTTGTTATCAGTGGTGATCTAACGGTAATATTTCAGGACAAATGGTCATGTGGGTAACCTTTTTGTCCCTTGCAAGAACAGTTCCTTACTCCTTATCGGATACAATGAAGCTGATAGATAAGCAATAGGTTCAAGGAATTAGTATGAAATCAATGCAGAACTGATGGCACATCAAACATGAGAAATGGGCAGTATAATGTCTATTCATCCTTTCTGTTTTTTCTCAATACAAGGGGAAAAAAATAAAATAAAAAATCACCACCTATATATATTTTCACATAATATTGCTCACAGCAATGCTCAGACCTTATATTCAGCAAAAAAGAACAATACAGACTGTTCAAAACTTCACAGAGAATATCATCTTGCAGTTCATTTAACTACTGATAGAAATATTTTACTTTCTTGAGAGAGTACAATCAGGATCATATCCCAATTTCCAAGGTCTTAACCCCAAAGTACTGGGAAACTTATTGGTGGCAGCTCAGCAATCTATGGAAATGCAGGTTTCAGCAACCAAGGTGCTATCGACTTTGCTAATGAATGGATTAATCTTGACCCAAACAAGAGAGAAGACAGAGGCCAACAGCACTGACCAGAGAACAACAATGGTTGGTGTTCGATTTTGGCGACCCATTAGACCTTTGAGGAAAGGATAGAGATGAAGAATCACCCAGAAGGCAAAGAACACCTTGCCAAAGAGAGGTCCCCAGGCTTCGTATCCTTTGTTGAGTGCATCAGAGAATCCAGCAACAACACCAACAATATTGATGATGAGAAGCGTTGTTGGAGGAATCAAAAGTGTAGTCCATTTGACCATATAGAGCTCCCCAAATTCTGCATCATCAGCTGCTTTTGCTGTGACAGTAAAGTTGGTATCGATGCCAGCCAACATTTTCAAGAATCCCTGGAAGACAGCAAAGAGATGCGCTGAAACACCTCCGATCACCCAGAACTGTTCATTACGCCACAAATCTTCAATGCTGACACCACTCCATCTTAGCTCTAGCACCGCAGTTGAAATGATGGAGATAAAGAGGCCAAGAAACAGCATGCTTGCCAGGTTTGAGAGCTGGATCGATGACAAGGTACATCACAAAGTCAAACCCTTTAGCACATAATTACTAGTGGAACAAAAATTGTAGATTGCATTTAGCAAACTGTGATTTTTAATATTAGTCAGAAAATTGTTGACTCAGAATAAGCAACCTAGTAATAGCGTACAATACACAGCTCAATGACTTGAGAAGCACTGTTCTGCCTAGCAAAACATTTTAAATTTGTCCTCATAATAACTCGTAAGTAAGAGACATGATGTTGCGGACAAAACGTTTTTTTCCTTTTAGGATGAGAAAAGGAAGATCATAGTAATTACCGTCGGGATGATGAATTTTCCAGTGAGCAGACAAACTGCAGGAATTGTGCAATAGGCAATGAGAGGGAGGGATGTGAATGGGTAAACAATGGTGTTTATATATGCAAGCCTTTGGAGCCATTTAAGACGGCCTCCTCCAAACCCATACCAGAGCGGACAGTGTCTGCTAAAGAAAATTTCCACAGAACCAAGAGCCCATCGGAGAACCTGGTGCAATCTATCAGACAGATTGATGGGTGCAGATCCTTTGAATGCAGGCCTTAAGGGCATGCAGTAAATTGATCTCCATCCTCGGCAGTGCATCTTGAAGCCACTTAAGATATCCTCAGTGACTGACCCATATATCCAACCAATCTGAGAAGATACATAAAAAGGTTTAATATTGACAATATAAATATGGCAAATATGTTCTAACTGAAAACCAACAGCATAATTCGTACTTAAACGTTAGTTCAATGGAAAGGGCAACAGAAAGTTTTCAACCAAGCAACCAAGAATTTATGATTGAAATGACAATATAGGGTAGAAAATGTGATGAAATCCCACATAGGCTCCAGCTTGATCTCAAAGTATTGGAAGATAATTTATAATCGATAAGAGTGGAATCTTAGTATCCATACTAGCTAGGTATTGGATGAAGAGAATAAAAATTTTGTTCAAAGAAATTTTCTTTTCCTTGTTAAATTGAACTATCATTTTGGAGTAAGGGTTTGAAGCTTCACCTCTTTTCCCCATTCAGTCTTCTCTTCATAGCCACAGCCGATGACATGGATTGCTTCCTTGATGAGTGTTGATGAGTTGACAGACTCAGGTACTCCTCCTGTCTCCATTAGTGTAGACTCAATGAAGACAGAAGATAAGCCAAAAGTTTTCTCAAAGCTCAACTGGGATATCAGCATTGACCTCTCATGCTCATCGTAATCTGCAGGACGAAAAAAAAAAAAAAAAAACCCAGCATAACTTAGTGATTGAAAAAGTCTGCTAACCAATCATCTAATCCAACTCTCTTCAAAAATTTAAACTTACTATCAATCTCTGTAAGATTAAATATGGCAGCATTGAGATCCTCTCTTTTTGCATCTCTGTAAACCTCAGCTGGATCTTGAGCAGGCTTCTTCTTTGAGGGGCAGCAGCATGAGAAGCAGGATGAAGACTCCTTGCTCTTGCGTAAGCTGGGCATAGAAGGAGGCCCATAGCCGTAAAGTGCTTGCCTATTGAAAACACAACCAGTTCCCACATATACTGGTCCTTGAATGCCATCCAGTCCTTTCATGTTGACCTGAAAATAGAATAGAAAGAATTGCCAAAACTCAAAAGGCTCAGTATTTATCTATAAACTACAGAAGCCATAATATTATGGCAATGTTATATTATTTTCACAATCAGCATATTATTGCTTAAATTTTCTCTTTTTTCACTTTTCTACACTGAGTAAAATATGTAATACACATCTGTATGTTGATAGGAAGTGGGAGAGCAAAAGATTGATGATAAAGAGGATTTGAAGAGCCATATATCTAGCTGAACTTCATTATAAATTGAATTCAAATGAGTTTGAACAATCTGAATTCTGTCATTTAAGAAACTAGAAATAATTTCTTAACTTATATATTCACATGACCTGAAAAGATCAACTCTCTTATCCATCAATTAACCTAGATGTTTAAAGGACTTCCATAATCAAAAAGTAAAATGAAATGTTTCTGTTACTCTGGCTTTATTTTCCTCTTGAGCATGATAATATAGATCTCTTTACCATTATATGCTCAACACAAGTATTGAAATGACGAGAAGATTAAGCTAGATTTAGTCTTACATCAAAGAAAACTACGTTACGATTGGCGTAGCGATCACTCTTATCTATGCCATCAAACCTCTGAGGGAACTGCACATAGCATACATCTCGACCTAATTGTGGGTCCATCAGGATGCACATTGCCTCTCGCACAGCCTTGCTATTGTTTACATAGTGATCACAATCAAGATTGAGGATGTAGGGAGCATTTGTGAGAACTGCAGACACTCTTACCTGTATAAAGCCATTCATGAAAGTATTAGTCCAACTCGAACATGAAATTCATGCGAAGCCTTACCAATCTTAAATTATTTATACACACCAGAGCATTTTCAGCACCAGCCTTTTTATGGTGTTGGTAGCCAGGTCTCTTCTCCCTGGAGACATATACTAGTCGAGGTAGTTCATTTCCCTCTATGTCACGAGCTCCAGTGTTTCCAAGGAAGACCTGTCAAGAAAATGGCCATACATGGAACCCTTTTTATGGAAAAAATCTATAGAGGAGTCAAATAGACTGGGGTCCCAGGCTCACATGGACTGCTGATAAATATTGAAGAAATAAATGAAAAATCAATATCTTGATCTGAAAAGAGATGCAAAAGTTGTGCCATGGGATTTAATTTTGAAGCCCAAGATCTTATTGTTCTTGAAGATTCTGAAATTTTAAGGGCGATTCCAAGAGAATTCTGAAACATGCTTCAATTATTTCATAAATACCAAATAAACCACTATCCTTTAGGTTACTAAATGCTTCAGGAATTTTGTATGTTAATCGAAGCTTTAAGCCACAGAGCTCTCATATCTTAGATGTATCTTCAAATGAATTTTGAAAATTTGGATAACAGTGGTGTAGATCCTCTCTCTCTCTCTCTGGATCTTACTAGAGAAGCAGTGGATGTTAAAGATATGGTGTTAAGCTTATTAACTTTTATAGCTTAAACAGATTTACTGAACCAATGAGCAATAGACTTTCTATCTAGTACTAATATAAAAAATCTAGCAAGGTACAAGAACCAATGAAGAGTTCAACCTGAATCATGCCAGGGTGATCACGTGAGTTATTTCCAGGCCAAGGTGTTCCATCTTGCATAGTCCATCCCTCTTCAGGTGTTTTCTGAGCCTTTGCTACCATGGCATTAACTCGGACTTTGTACTCTTCATAATCCCTCTGAAACAAAATAAAAGGAAATGGTAAGTGACTTCTAACCATAACCAATTACGTAATGTCTTTGTCAAAAAGCACGAGTATGTAAGAGTTGTATAATAAGTGCTCAGAGCTTACTTTCATTGCCCTACGTTCTTTTACGAAAGAAGGTTGAACCTTATCTTTCAAGTAATCGATTTTCTGTGAGAAGTAAAACTCTGGTGCTCTTGGTTCAATTGAGTATTTTTTGCAGAATGGAACCCACTTCCTTGCAAACTCAGCTGTTTCTACCAGACATTCAAATGTAAGCATAGCAGCACCATCATCAGACACGTAGCAGGAAACTTGATCCACGGGATAGTCCACAGCAAGGATGGAAAGGACTGTGTTGGCAGTTATCAATGGCGGTTCTTTCAGTGGATCAACAGTACTCACGAAAAAATCCACACCAGCAAGCTGAGAAGGCTCACCCTCTCTTTCATACCTGGTGTGGCATTGAGTACATCATATCATTTACACTTTGAAAACCAACTTTTGCATAAATGGTTAAGTGGATTAGCACATTGTACTGGGGCCATCTGTATCTTCTGCAGTGATCTTGTGCTATATACAAACCTTTACATTTTTTTATTTTTTTTCCCTATGCTATGAAATACACAGCAAACTCGGCCTTATTAACCATTGACATGAGGAAATGCATCATAGCTAATGTTTTATAAGCCGGGTTTAGTGATAAATCTTCGGTTAGACAAAAAGAAAATGGTGAATTATGCAGATGATAGGGACTATAATAAAGTATAGTGAATTTCCAGATCACAGTGAGTCTGTGTCAAATCATAATCTTCAGTTTTGAAGGCTTTACTAACATGAAAATTTTTGCATACTAAATAGAGTACCTTGCAGATAGCCTGTCGATATAGGTTTCTCTATTGACAGGATTCCACTTGGGGAACTGATCCAACACCCAAGAAAATGCAAACCAGATCTCACATATGACAGAAGTAAGCCACAGACCAAAGGCACTATCGACAGGATTTGTTATTCGGTAGTGGAAGAAAAGGCCCAGAATGACCAGTCGCATTATGATCACTGCTCTGTATGGTGTGAGTTTGTTGCGTGGAATTGGATAAACAATTGAAAGTGGCTCGAAAGCCTCTGCAGACCTGCAAATTGAAAAGGAATCATCAAATGGAAGATGCCTTGACATGCAAGTTAACATTGTTTCTTTGATTTCAATCTTCATCTAGGAAGAAGTTTAAGGAATAACTGTTGGATCAAACATTCAACCTTCAACAGTTGATAAAAGCTTGAAATGACTTACAAGACCTGCTTCCAAACATGATTAATTTGAAAAGACAAATCTTTCTTATTCCTTTCAGTTTAAATGCTTCAATCTTATTCTTCTCCATATTCTGTGTTTCAAAATCATATAAGCCTTATTTTTGTTCTTACGGGTTCTCTTCCATCTGCTGTTCCGGTGGAACTTGAGCTGGTTCAGGTTCAGCCTTGGTATTAGTCTTTTTCTTCTTGTTCTTTTTATCCTTCCAACTCTCCACCCGATTCTTCCAAATTGGATTCCCAAATTCATCATTCATTTCTTCAGAAAAACATAGAAAGAGACAAATAAATAAAATTGTTTAGAAGAGAATCAAAATAATAATTATGATCTTCAGAAAAATCAAGGTCACTAACCACTATCCACTGTGGACACGCTACTGATATGTCTAGCATGAATTCCGACATCCTGTACAAACCAAGGTTAATTAGAGAATGCCGTCAGAATCCCAGCATTTGAAACTTTATTGTATCCAGGCAGACTTAAAATCTCATGGATTATACCAGAAAAAAATTGATCTTTCTTCTTGTATTTCTTTAAACTTAAAAATCATGAGCCATCTTATGCATCATTAATATTTAGAAAATAGTCATACCGGATAATTGTTGAGGTGAGATGGCGTCGTGGATTCATCGCCAGGCCCCTTCTTTTCTACATCATCCAGCAAGTTCTCTGGAGAATGCAGGCATAAATTAGCATATAAAATTAAATAAAAAAAGGTTTCTAAAAGTTCCAAGGATACGAACCGCGATGGAAGTTTTCAACCATTGAAGAACTTAATCATACCACATAATACAGAGAAGAAAATCTTTCTCACACACATTGATTTACCAGACCAAATGACTGTATTAACAAAATCAGTAAAAGAGAAATTGAAGATAGGGTGGTACCATCATATGGCGAGCCACAGCGCAGGCAAACTTTCCGACCCTCCTTGATTTCATAATCGAAACAAGACTTGCACATGGGATAGTTACACTCATGGCAAGCCACAAACAGCTCCCCATTTGCATCATCTCCCACCTGTTCACCACAGGTATGGCATACAGGAGCCCCAGATTCCATCATCTTGCTTATTATCGCTTCACCAGCTCTTTACAACCCCAGTTCTTCAATTCTTTCAAGAGGGTCTCCCTTTGCTTCTTTCCAATCCTTTATTTCGGGCCTTGTTTTTATATCAAATGCCCTAACCAAAGCCAGGGTGTGTTTGGTGTCTTTCAGAGGGTGGTACTGACATTTTTGTAATGGCGAAGAGAAGGTTGAGGGGGTGAGTTGGTGGGGTATGGCGGTTGGGGAGTTGGTGTCATGTGTTTTGCAGAGAAAGAGAGATGAGAAGCAATGTCTATTTTCTGGGGGTGTAAAAGAAAAGTTTCGAAATTTTTGCGGGAAGTTCAAGGAAGGTTTCTGTTGGGCAGAGCACATCTTTAACTGACAAACTTTCAATGCAAGTCCTTCTCTTGAATGAGTGAATATAAATACGTAATCTGGGGCTGGGCTGCCATGGGAACAGAAAACTGGTCTAGGGTCACCCATGGGCATGTATCAGGGTAAATTTCTCAATGAAAACGAAAAATAGGACAAAAAAAAAAAAAGGCAGGATATCTCTTTTATGATGCTAAGTCCATGTCTTGTTGGTATAGTAATAGTAACAGATTAACAATTTATTCCTACAGGATTGCAATACCAGAAACGGTATTTTGCAACTTCATATCAGACTGAAGAGTAATCCCAGCACAAAAGATAGGCATAAGTAAATGACTAAAGAATCCATCTTTTTAAAAAATTCACATGATGTGCATTAGTAACTTATTTTGCAGAAGTTAGGGAAATTGCATGACCAGATGTGAACAATGGCATTCAACGAACCATAAAAAGATCTGGCAGAGTTTTGGAGCAAAAATAATATTTAAAAAGAGACATTTCATGACAAAATTGGGTGACTTGTTCTTTCTGGTGCCTGACTGAATTTGTTCATTGAGAAGTAAAATTGGACCATTACAACCATACGCATTGCTTATTCAGCCATGGGATGGGAAGAGTAAAGTTTGGTCGTGAATATTAAATTCATAAATACCCCTTAGTGAATTTTTTTTCTTTTTGATAAATAAAAAGCCATTTCATACATATTCATACAAATTTGGCTCGAACTCAAAGAAAACAGCGAAACTATAAAGAGAATTCTTCCAAAATTTAACCAACAATACCCATTCAGTTCAATAATCATTCTGAAAAATATAACAGTGAATAAATTCCTATGAACCATAATAATTCAATCTTATAGTAGATTCAGCCAAAAAAAGGAAAAACAACTTAATTTATGGCTGTTCATCAATCTGTGACCTCAGACGAACAATGTAGCAGCTAATCTTAACTTATACACGCTTAAAACTCTTAAGAATCATGTAGTTTAGGTTTGCTGGTGTGCCTTGGAAGGGGTGGTTAGCGTATCATGCACTTTTCCTCTGTCAAACTGATGATACCGGTAAAAAGCTGCCCTTGGATAACCAAGTAATTCTTTTGAAACAACACACACGAAAGCAAACAGGAAACGATCTGCTCCTGCAACAAAATTAAGGCATGCCCTAGAGGAGTCTATGGTGTTGTAGCTCTCATCTAAGAAACAGAATAGACCTTTACTACTTTTGTGGTGTCACAAACAACAAGGTTTTCTGAGTCAGTCGGAGTGGTACAGAGCCAATTGACCTGCCAAAATGCAAAGGACGAGATGAAAAAAGATTCCAACACAACTAATGCAAGAAAACATGAGGCTGAAAACCAAGATATCGTGCAGGAGACACTGAAAACCAACCTTTTTGCCCAAGTCGATGTTAAGACGTAGAACATCATTGTTTCCACCATTCTGTCCTGCATCATGATATTTGGAGCAATCCCAGACTTTCACTGACTTATCATTTCCACCAGAAATTATCAGCTTCCCCTTCTCCCCGAACATTGAAAATGTGACACAAGACACAGCAGCAAAATGACCACCCACAGAGTAATCCAAATGCAACCTATTTCTTGCAAGATCAAGAATTTCAGTACCAGCAGCTGCAATACCACCTTTAGATGTAGATGGAGATCCTTTCCGTGCTTTTGTACAAATTTTTGACCTAATAGCTGCAAGTTCTGATTCAATATTTATCACATCAACAACGCCATCTCCCCTAGCCACAACACATATTTTATCTGACTTTTCCAACATATCAACATCTGGAACTGCTATTGCATGAACAAATGCAGGATTGTAAAATTTTGCCCCACTGCTACCCTTCTTTATGTCATGCAAACCTGTTTTCAAGAATAATACAAGCTTGAGGACCATATTGAGACTATACTTTCTATAGATAATCAAAGCATCAAACAAAATATCATTGATGTTGAATGTTCATGATGGTGAATAAGTTTATGGAATGTTATTCGAAAACATATGAATAAATTGAAAGAGAGATTACCATCCAAAACTTGACTTTTCGTCATCCCAATAATGCAAGAGAACAAATTTCAGACTAGCTGTAAGACAAATGAAATAAGAGATATACATACCAAAATCAACAATTTTGACTGGGCGTCCTTTTGAAAAGTCCCACATAACAAGCTTTGAGTCGAGACCCCCAGTAATGACTGTCAAAATTAGTGTCAATGATCAATATACCTTGAAAAAAAGAAGCTCGATATAAAAGCCAGAATTACATTACATCATCCTTACCAAAATTATAAAGCATTCGGATGCCAAATAAAAGCGATGTGCTAGTTGCCCTTTCATTAACATTATAGCTAATACGAACATGAGATTATGCTTCCAACAGTCTTGACAATAATGATTACCAACTCTAAAAACCTTAACAAAACTAATGAATGCTTCCCTTAAGAACACCAGTCTCCTATGCCTATCAGCTTCTATTCACTTATCTGGTACTTAACTCCATAGTATCACAAACCAATTCAGTAGGTAAGCAGCCACTTAAATGTTTCTAGAGGCTTTAGATGGAAAGAAAAAGTATCGAATTAACAGTTAAATTGCCGACAGAAGAATGAACAGCTAATATTCTGCTTGCTAAAACACCTAACATCGGATCCCATCATCCATGTGATCATTAACACTCATAAAAGTGCTTGTGCACGGACTGTGTGTACTCCCAGAGAAAGACAAAGAGGGGCTTTCAAATCAAGAGAAATGATACCTTCCCAAGGTCTCCATGGAATGAATTGTACACTGCTGCAAATCTATAATAGAGTCAAGGCATGAGAAGAGGTGGACAGAAGTTGAAGCTTAAAATAAAAGGACATAAGCATCTTTAGCCTCAACTGCTGACAGGACCATGCTCATTAGAGGTGAGAAGACTTGCCACAGTTGTTGTCAAATTATTCAGATATCAATTAACGGAAAAGATTAGTGTTCAAAAGAAATTCCATGTCAAAATATGGCACACACATAGCTGGAATTTGTTGAAAAACCAAGTATATTCTGCACTTGCATGAGGAAGGATACACTTGAATGGCCAGCTCTCAGTGTTTTATAAAGGCAATGCTGGCGAATGTCAATAATCTGCCATAAACATATAATTATTGGCTGTTAAACCATCAAAATTGCAGAGCAACCGGAAAAGGGAAAATCTTAAAAGGGTGCTGTGGTGGGTGTATCATGAAGCAGTGCAAATAGAAAGTTCAGCTAATTTAATATTAGTCAATGCAAGAGTGCTGGCTATCTCAAATTTTAAAAAGATGCATGGTACTTGATAATATAGACCACAAACAAATACAATAAAAAAATTAAGAAATCAAATATCTTGAGGACAATGACTAGTTAAAGGAAAACCAGAAACACAAACAACTGTATCCTTCTACTTGGACCACCTGTCACAAGATATCTATTTTGTTTTTAAGATAAAAGAAAACATCTACAATCAACCAATCCAAGTACCATATCTCTCTTCAGTTCCTTAATGTATTTCTTGATTCATGGTGATGTATCCAACAAATTCTCAATGAAGGTAATAGTGAAAATCAAGTACGACATTTTGGCATATCCATGATAAAAGGAATGGAAAAGATATTCAACCCCTTGCTCCAGACGGAAAAACTTAAAAGACTTATAATAATGAAGCAGTAAGGGCACTTCAGTTGGCTAGATGGCAGGGCTGGGATGAACCAACTAGTGGCGAAACTTTTCTCCCCCAAAGTTTGACCATTATTATTCCAGTGAAAAGCATCAGAGATGCTAATCCAGACATATTAGGAAAAGAAAAGGCATGTATTCCTGGACTGTACATTTGCACTTGCTCTTTAGTCAAGGGTATGAAAATCCTTCTCCAAGAATAAATACAATATTAGATGAAACAGGAGACAGAATATCAGTTTATGGGCTTGTCAGGATCTGACCCAATTTCCATGAAGTAAAACAGAACAATTACGCACCCAAAAAATGCATGTTTCAAGAACGGAAACAATTAATACAATATCAGATGCCCTGATGAATTAAGAAACATACAGGACCTTAACATCGCCACCGTCATCTGTAGAAGCAAGAAAAGCTGCCTTAGAGTTGCATGCAATCTGCATTGATTAGGTACAACCTGAGCGTTAAACAGCTTGACAGCCAACAATTGCATAAAGATACAAAATATCCAGTGAGATAATAATGGCACAATATTGAAGTTTTGGTCTTTTAAAGAACCTTGTAGATTCCCCAGCAAAACAATTAACATTGCATGATGGACATGAGCTTCACTTCAATTTCCAAAATAGATAGCAAATCAGGAGGGCATCCACCAGTATAAAATACTTCACAGTAATTTGAAACAATGCATGTTCTTTCCAACTTCAACGTTGTTTTGAATCATGACAAGGACTAAATTAACATTAAACTCTAAGGTGCAGCGAGTATTCATTTTATATGTTTTATGATTATTTATGCTAGCAGAAGTCTCTATTTCTTCCTCGCATAAAAAGAGGTTGACTATCAATTATAAAACAACAATTGAGTACGAATTATTGAAAATCAAGTTAGAACAATCGATGTCTTCAACGTACTGGACAGAGGCAGATAAACTTAGCATAAAAGTTTAACTTCATCGATAACTAAAAGACCAGCATCATCATTGAACAAGGAAAACAACGTTAATACACAAGTAGGACTATGTTTTAAATGTTAACACAGACAAATGTATTGATAAAACAAAATGATGCATCCAATCATAAGATGCTTAATTTTATGATAGCATACCTGATTTATTTCGTCCTTATTATAGTTGTAACTCTTGAATGGCGTACACATGCTAGCCTTCAAATACAAAATCAAAATATTAATCTCCAAAACAAAACTTACCATCAACATAAAGAGGAAAAGATACAATATTGAATGCTGCTTACCATATTATGCACATCAAAACACTTAACTTCATTTCCAGAGGAAACATACATGATATCTTCATTCCCTGACCCATCATCCAACAAAGATTAATTTGCATCTAATTATCTTCACAAGATTTAAAAAACAAAAAATAAAAATCAAATTTCGAACTTTAATTCCAATAACTCTCACTCATAGCACTTCATACACTAAACTAATGACAAATTCAAATATCTCAGAATATAGAAAATGACATTAATGATAATTCTCACCAGACTTGAAACACAATGAAGTAATAGGTTCCTGTGCAACTTCAACAATATGCTGCGCGTCTTTGCATCTCATATCAAACAAGCAAATGCAACCATCCTCGCCGGCGGTAGCGACGACACCAGGACGGTCACGTGAGGCGATGCAGCACGTGGCGGTACCTTTATGTCCTCTCAATCTTCTCGGCTCTGTCATGGTCCTCTCTATTTCACCTCTTCTCCTTTCGTTTCTGTTTTTTGGTTGATCAAATTTGTTTCTGGGATGCGCCTGGTCCCAACGGAATTCGGGTCAATAGATATCTGTCGAATAATTCGAACCGGGTTTTCAATCAGTTCCAAAGTCAGACTTATGGGCCGGGATTTTGGGGTTACTTTGAGCCCATGTAGCCCTATACGGGATTCGGACTGCCTGCTTGTTTTCTTGTTTTCTCTTGTCTTAAGCCTTAAGCAGGTTTTCACTTTCCTTTTTTTAAAAAAAAAAAAAAAAAAAAAGAAGCACGCATATATTTATTTATTATTATCCAAATTAATTACGAAGATTGCATTGCAAGAACTAATACAAGTGTAAAGGATTACTACATGCATGAGATGTTGTGATGTAGTGTTATTCACGTTAAAGTATATTATTTGGCGAGCAATACTTCATGACGTCTTGTGATGTATCACATTCCACAAAATACTAGTCAGAGGGCCATATTCAAATTTTTTTATTTTTTATTTTTTGTGCGGTAATGCAAAAAATAATATTTTTAATATTCACTTATATAATTGTATAGGTAGGGGTGGTTGGTTGAAGTCAATGTAAAAGATTTTGTGTGCTAATGTTTATTTGTTGGCATCTGCCGCTTTGTGCCTTTAATTTTTCTTTGATTGTTAATTTATTATACGGAATCGAGAGGGTTTCATTCCTTATGAAACGCACAAAAATCCTCAAAACTTCATTATATGTTAATTTTATTTCATTTCCTCCAAGTTATATAAATATATATCCTAAACATTAAAGCTTGCTCAAAAATCTTTAAAATTTCATTAATGCTTTAAATTTTTTTTAAATACACAAAATTACATAAAGGACCCATCTCAATTAGTGTGTGTATATATATCCTAAACTTTATGTGATTTGAGAATCAAATCCTCAACTTTTAATTTTATAATGGACATTTCTTCAATGATTTTTCATATGAAATTGGATCTTTTAGCTAAGAGTTAAAAACACAAAAAACATTGTTGCACCTACTCTATCAAAATATAATTCATAACAAACCTTATAATATTAGACATCGATTGCAAAATAATCCTTCATTTAATTTGTTCTGTCATGTTGATCGATTTTTGTTAGTTGACTAACATTTGATCAATTAAATGGCTAAACATGTCGAGCTGAAGGATAAAAATATAACTTTTTAAATATTTTTTTATAAATTGTTTTAAAGCTAAAATAATTAATAATCATTAAAAATTGAAAAAAAATTTAAGGAAATTTTTTAAAATAATCAATTTTTTCCCTTCAGATTTTAAAATAATTATTGATAAAGAAAATTATATATATATATATATAAAGAATTTTTTTTCAATTCTTACTTTTTTATAATAATTATTAATATAGAACATTTAAAGAAAAATCCAAAGAAATTTTTTTCAATTTTAGAATAATTAAAAAAAATAAAATTTTAAAAAATCTAAACAAAATTTTAATAATTATTAATTATTTTGATAAAAAAAATTTTGAATTTATTTTTATCATTTTTTAACAATTCTTTAGAATTTTTTTAAAATTTCTTTATTAATAATTATTGTAAAATCCTTAAAACAATATTTTCCTTATATTTTTTAATTTTTAATGATTTTATAATAATTATTAATTTTTTAACTTAAAAAATAAAAAACAAATTGATTTAAAAAATATATATATCCTTAAGTTGACACATGTCGTCACTTGATTGATCAGCTAGTTAGTCAACTAATACAAATTGGTCAATCTAACGGAAAAAATTAACGAAGTGATTGTTTTGCACCAACATCTAATAATATAATGTTTGTTATGAACTATATTGGGTAGAAAGGTTGCAATGATGTTTTTAGTATAATACAAACGCACAAGGTGTATTTGACCGCTTTAGTTAGGTTTGCATCAATTCTAACATAAAAGTGTAGTTTCTCAACAACTTAAAACACACCATAACTTATAAATGCTTTGTTTTGCCTCCAAGATTTTTTTTTTTTTTTAGTATCTTAAATGCTAAGAAGTAACCAACCAAAGAATATTTTAGAATTAAAAAAAAAAGTTTTGAAAGAAAAAGCAAAACATACATAAATTTTGACACATTTTTTAGTTGTTAGAAAGTTAAAAAGTGAACTGCATACATGTCATGTTTACTTTTATCGTTAGAATTGATAAAAACCTAATAGAATAACACAATTTCTTATAAAAAATAGTTGAAAAGAGATTTAACTTAAATTAGAAATTGATGAATTGATTCTCAAATGACTTAAGGTTTAAAGGAGGTTTGGACCATTTAAGGATTATTTATTTTTATTTTTTTAACATGAGGCATAATATGATTAGTTAATAACTTGGTCCCTTAAATACATGGCTAAAGCCATTTGTCATAACCATAGCTCTTCTTATGAAATACAACAATTTTAGTATTATCTATTGATTGATAAGAGATGATAAAGGGGAAAAAAATAAGAAGAAGAAGCAACAATACGCTTTAATCTAATAAAATTAAGATTTTGCTTGGTATGACTATTGAATTATAACTTTTAACTTTGAGTCATAACCTAAAAATTGTTTTTCATAAACAACTTAAGACAAAAAGAGTTTAAATGACTTCAAATTAGAAGTATATTTAGTAAAAATGACTCAAACTAAATTTTTTCACAAAAGAAGATAGTATAAGTTAAAATTCAAAAGTCACAAGTTTAAATAAAAAAAAATTTTGATTAAAAAAATTTGTTTCAATTTTGTGACAAATTTTTTATTTAAGTAAAAATTTATTCGTAACCAAACATGTTTATTAATTTTCTTTAAATCTTTTGTTAAAAGCTAACTTTAATCAAAATTAAAAGGTCAAACATAATCTAAGATTCTCCGATACAAAAAGATTCTTCGAGTACAAACATATAGTATAATTAAGCACTCGTGCCGGTAACTAGCCAAACTAAAATGATATGCCTTTTGACTTAATTGCTTTCTTTGTTTCTTATATGATTTTTTTTTTTAATGTAACAAGTTCATACTATTTTATAAAAAGACAATAAATCTACCATCCATCTTATCACTATCCAAGCATATCCGACATTTAGAGGACTTCCAAACATTCTATTAAAAATTATTTATTTTGTTTATTTATTGGGAATGTAAGTTAAACTAAGTTTTTAGAATTGCCAATTGCTATTACAAGAACTAAAAAAATCTAAAACCGATACTAGTTCAAAGATTCTAAGATAAAAAAAAAATGGTTATGCCTATGGAAAGATATCAAACACCCAAATGCACTCTTTTCTAAGAAAGGTTCCACATCTAATTTAATTCTAAAATTTATCTCTTAAAAAATATATTATTTACCAAAATTATTCCTAAGTCAAAATTCTAAGTTTTCTTTTCTAAGCTAGTTGACTTTTTTATTATTGTTTGTGGCATCATATTGAATCAATTATTGAACCCCTAACATCAAGAGTCTCATCAATTCAACATGAGATCTAGTTTAAGTCTTGACATAACCGACATGTCGAGAGAATAACCTAATTACTAAGGTAATTTATTTGAATTAATAACGTCCATCCCTATTGTATAGGAGACTCGTTAAAATTACTTAAAGCACTTGCTTTCCTTTTTGTTATTTCGTGTTTTATTTTGAGCTATGCAAGAAAATATTATCAAAATATTATTTTGTTTTTGTTTTATGGCATTGCATTAAATTAATATCGGGCCTCAAAATTTGAAAGTCTCATCAATTTAGCATCGGATCCGAATTAAAGCCTTGACACGATTGGCATAAAGGATGACCTAATTAACTAAAAATATTTATAAGAAATATTGAATAAAGTTTACCCGTCCGACTTCTTATTATTTTTTTTAGCATTTTCATTATTGGAAAAAATATATCGAACCATTTCCTTCCCAATAAGTAAGAGACTCGTTGATCCAACATCACAAAATTAATAAATAAATATAATGACCTTCTTGTTAAGGACGTTCGCCTTGAAAAGTAAAATATTATGGTCTTATTAGTCGCCACTAAATGTAAGATGTAATGGCCTTATTGTAAAGGATGACCTACTCTAAAAGTGAAATGCGATGGATCGATCATGAAGGATAACCTATCCTAAAAGTAAGATGTGTTGATCTTGTTGTAATGGATGGCTTGTCCTATAAAGTAAAATGGGATGACCTTGTTATGAAAAACGATATATTCGAAAGTAAAATGAGATGGTTTTGTTGTGAAAGATAACTCGCCTTGTAAAATAAAATACTATGACCTTATTGTAAAAGGGAGCTTATCTAAAAAAGTAAAATACATTGGCTTTGTTGGAAAGAACGAGCATGTCTTGAAACATAAAATGCGACGATCTTATTGTGAAGAACGGTTTGTCCCGAAAGTAAGATGGGATGACTTTGCTGTAAAAGACAACCTATCCTTAAAAGTAAAATGCAATGGCTCTAGTTGTGAAGGATGACTTGCCACGAAAGTAAGATGCAATAGACTTGTGGTTAAGGATGGTAGGTCTTGAAAGTAAGATGCGATGGCCTTGTTGTAAAGGACATCTTATGTTAAAATGTAAAATTTTATGCTCTTTTCTTGAAGGGCAACCTATCCTAAAAAGTAAAATATGATGGTCTTATTGTGAAGGATAGTACGTCCTAAAAAATAAAATATGATGGTCTTGTTGTGAAGGGCGGTACGCACTGAAAAATAAAATACGATAACCTTATTGTGAAAGATGGCATGTCTTGAAAAGTAAAATGCAATAGCCTTATTGTGAAGGGAAATTTTTCCCTAAAAAGCAAAAAATGATGGTCTTATTGTCAAGTACAACATGTCCTAAAATGATAGTCTATTGTAAGGCAACCATGCTCAAAATAATAATCTATTGTGAAGCGACACTGGCCTAAAATAATAGTCTATTATCAAGGGACCATGTCCAAAATAACGATCTTTTAAATAAAATGGTTTTGTTATCAAGGATGAACTATCCGGAAATAATGGTCCGTCGTAAGGTGACCCAATCCGAAATAATGGTGTATTGTGAGGAAATTTTGTCAAAAGTAATGGTGTATTGTGAGACGATCCTATCCGAGATGATGGTATAATGTGAGGTGACCTTGCTTAAAATGATGATCTATTACAAGGCTAGCCTATTTGAAATCATAGTGTATTATGAGATGACCCTATCTAAAATTATTGTCTATTATGTGGCGGCCGTACTTG